AGAGAGAGAGAGAGAGAGAGAGAGAGAGAGAGAGAGAGAGAGAGAGCGAGAGAGAGAGATCGTTGAAAGAGCGTATATGTGTTTGTAAAGAAAAGCGAGATTGTACATCTTCCGAGTTGTTTAGCTTAACACATTGCAAGCGTAATGTAATACTCTTACAACGCTAGGTCTTTGTTACATGATCAAACATAACGTTAAACAACATTATAAGTGATGATAATAATAACATTTTTTAAAAAGTACTGCTTGTTTGGATACACATATCCAACAGAACCTTCCTGTACGATTCCCTTACCACAGAGAAATTGGTAAAGTAATGTTTCATAAAAATAAGTAACTTAATAGATTCAAATTTTCATAAGTATTTCATGATGATTACATAGAACAATGCTCCTCAATGAATCATGTTGCTATTAAATTTGATGGTGTTGTGTATATATTCATATACATATAGTTATTAAAATCTTTATTGAGTAGAAAATAATTCACACATTTTAAGTACTCATACAACAGAAATAATTTTGACTGTAAGTGATCTGTGCAGAAATCGATGCATTCACATAAGAAAAACGTTAGTAGTAACTTAAATATTAATCATCTATTTAATTAATCAGTAAAATCTGTGCAGAAATCGATGCATTCACATAAGAAAAACGTTAGTAGTAACTTAAATATTAATCATCTATTTAATTAATCAGTAAAATGGAATTCTACTATATTAAAAATTAGAATCATTGAAAAGCATTGAGCACATTATTTAATTGAATCAGTGAACACGAACAATACGTCAGATGAAACTTAAGTACCATCTGTAGAGTGCGTACGATTTAACAGGTAATCAAGATCATGAGAGATACGATCCAGCATACCGCTCGTCGTAGCTTCGCAATTTGTGACCATGACTTCCGGTGCTTTTTCTTCCCCGTCCGGTTGTTTACGTTCTGTCGTATTAGCTATATCAGGAATAATGTTCACATGTTCTCTGGTCTTTAGTTCGTTCGTGGACAATAATTCGACGTCGCTTTTAACGGCCAAAGTGACGTCCGGCATACCGGTCAAACGGGACTCGACATCGGCACTGCACAAAACTTTAGCCGAGCTCTCCGGCGTCGGATTGTGAGGTATGAAAATTTGCTGGTTCTGCGGCTCGCGGTATTTCCCGTATTCTCGAAAGCTGCAGCATTCGTTGTTGCTGTAAGGTTCGCTCACGCAGTGCGACGCCCGCGGAGAAAATATGGCGTCGAACACGATCGCTTCTTGGTACTTCCGCGGGCTCGTGCTGTAATTCTCAAGATTTATGTCGTCAGAGTGATCGATGCGTATTTCTGGCAAGAATCGGCTTGCAACGGGGACGGAGGGCTTCGAGTATGAGGACGAAGACTCGTTCACGAACTCACGCATGTCTATACTACCGGCTGCAATTCCACGAGCTTCTATGTAGGACTCCCCCAAGACTAAGGATGATGGAGGTGGTGCCATGTCGTTTTCCACCTCTGCACCACTTTTCGAACACACTAACCAAAGGTTAAAAAACATTTGATTTCTAACAAGGTATTCAAAGATTTGCAGCTTAGGTTCCCAGTTGATATTTTGTTAGATTTCTAGATGTTAGCCATGCTCATTTAGAAGTGTGTTACGAGTACATTTAATTGCGTACATTGCATAAGTCTAGGAGGAATAACAATGCTTTACTTTTATTTCTAATTTAATTTGACGATTAACGAAACTCCCGAAAAGAATATGACTTGTACTTGGAAACCTCAACATTGACTGCAAGAACCTAGCTTCAGTTCATTATACTAGTCAACCTGTTTGTAGCCTACTTTTATGAAATACCTTTAATTGGCTCAGACGTTATCTCCTCTTCTGTGCTCTGTTTCCATGTCAGTTTCTTCAAGATCGAATCGACAATTGCTAATTCACCACTCACAATGTAGACCATTATTATGATGAACCCCTTTAAACATTGAGAATTATAAATTCAAACAGATAAGTATTGTTAGCAGGAAATGCTTACCAAAACAGAGGAAAGAGATGCAAATACATAGTGGAAGATAATAGAGGTGGAGTTTATGTAGAAGATGGAGGATGCTTCTATCGAGATTACACCACAAATGACAATAGCTGCACGATGAAGCATTCGTAGTCTGAATAAAAGGAATCATGTTAACTTTCATTCAGTCTATGAATATTGGTCAAGTGTGTTGGCACAGCTGTACCTTGATTCTATTGCCTCTTTCTTCATAACATTCTCTCCAACTAGAGCATGCGCTTTCTGCAAAATACCTAAATATAATAATGCAAATATGAGAAACATCATGGTGGCACAAGTTACAAATATATTGTAGACTCCACTGCCAAAGATCAGCCACCAGGATTCATGTCTCCACCTGGTGCTCTTATGTGTGAGTTCTGTAGTTAGCACTGCTAAGATGGGGACACCTATACCACATCAAAGTGTCATGTAATAGGAAGTTCAATCAAGAACTTTATTCTTTTTTACGTAATATAATCCTACCAGTAATGACTGCAATGACGGTAGGTTGAAAATGTTTGCTGTACTGGACTTGTGTTAATCCAGCATAAATGATCAGTGCTTCTGATATGGGTGCAGACATACCAATGAGAAGGAAAGCTTCTAAAGCTATTGCCACAATAGCATAGGAACTCTGAAATTAAACGGTATGTTCATGTTGAATCTAAAGTTCCATTAAGGTGTCCTCAGTACCTCTGGAAGATTACTGTACACAGCATAGATGAAAACAGCCATTGCTCCTACTAAAGCACTGCAACATTGAAGCTTCAAGAAATTCAACCAATCACGATTTTTCCACCAGAAAGTTCCAAGAATGAGGGAAGACAAGAGACATTGAACTAAACAGCTGCCACATCCAAATATTACAATAAATGTAGTTTGTTCCTTCTTCGCTAACACTACTCTCACTGCTCGTGCTGTTAGAAAAATTGCAAAAGTCCCTGTGTTAGGACATAAGCAGTGAGTGGTAGCATCCCCTGGTACAGTATTCACTATGCAACTATTCAAATCCCAGCTGCCCGCATTGTCCAAGAGGCCACAGGACACATTCCAAAAACTGGACTGATTCTGTATATGTCTCATTTGCAAATCAACCCATATTTTGTTATGCTTATCTGGATTGAAAGCTGGCACCGCTACCATGATGACCCGAGAATTAATTCGAAACTCGAGATCAGTACCATCGCTACGAAAATGAAACATTTCAGTTAAGAAACAATTGAGCTGCATCAGGCTTTCGAGTTACTGAATTCACTCACTCAAGCTCCTTGACGTAAGTGATTGGAAGAAAGTGAGATACATTTTTAAAAACCACCACAATTCCATTAAGTCTGTTGTCAGACTTTGGATTCCTTTGTTTCTTTTTCCACAGTCTCACGGTTACTTTATCATCGTACCAATTCGGATATCTATAAGAAGTTAATCGAATCAAGAAAATACCCATGACTACTTTCTACAAACAATAATTACATAGAATCATCCACTGGGATCTGAAGTGAATGCGTAATACTATCAGCATTGTGTTGTTGCAACTCTTGAACATCCACCACCAAAGAAGATAAGGACAGATGTTTGTAAGGTTCACCGGACGCCTTTGACCAGTGCATTAAGCTTCGTTGTGTAATTTGAAAGAGCAACAGAACTTTCTAAAAATTATTAACCATCAACCATCCATTTCTGTCTGCGACATTATCAGGATCACCTTACCTGTTGACTCAAGATCGAATTTTCATCGTCAAGTATTCGGCTGATAATGCGTATCAGAGCTTCTGTCGAGGCGTGTAAGTCTAATGGATCGACATTGTGTTGATAACGTTCGATTTCCGCCAGTATGCTCAATATGCGATCCCCTTCGCCAGGATAGAGTGGCAATCCACGTGACCGTAGGACTTCCCAAAAAGAGAATATCGTTTCTGATCCAGAGGTGTTCTGGTACCCCAGAGTAAGACTTTTAAACTACAAACAAACAGAGGAAAATTAACTTCTTCCCCAACGGTACCATTGAACTTCCAGTATATAATTGGCACCTTGTCGTACTGAGAAGTGAATGGTTTGTACAAACAATGAGAGAAGTCTGGTGTCTGCCATTCAGGTGTCGTAGCATCCTTCATTGAGCACAACCTGGATACTTTGTTACCTATGAAATGCTGAGGGCACTCCAGCAGTGCCTCTGTTCCAGGAACTGTATCGGGCCAAATTAAATCCTGTGATTTGCTTCTCTGACAAATTGGCACAAGGGTTCTATTAACTATCTCAACTCTAACGGACATGGACTTGTCCCCTACGTTGCAAGTGTATATGGCGGATTTCTGGAAGAGGACAGTAATAAAACAATGAAGACGAACAAAAGGATCAGCATTATACATATGCTCTGCCTAAATGTACTTGAGCGTTGGTGATCTTCAGTATACTCCCAGCTGGATAAAGATCCTCCCACACCTCGCTTCCAAGTTCCAGCTTGAGTAAAGCTTTATTCTTTGTCCAACCAAACCCTATCTCAATGTTGGGCATATTGGGCGTCATGCACGTCAACTGTGTGCTACCTCCCTGGAACAACGGTGAAGGAAGTTAGCAAACAAAGTCAGACAAATTGTCGCCGTATTACCTTGTTAATGGTAGCGCTCATAGGCATCACTTTCACATTGGGCTCATCCCTTACGTCGATGTAGATGCTTTTGCACTGTTGTACACTCCAGTCGACCACCTGGCAAGTGTACTGACCTGCGTCGAGCAAGCTCGCCTTTTCCACAGTCAACAAGGATGTGTGGAGGTCTGATCCATCATTAGGAAGATGCTTGTACCAGATTTTCCTAATGGACAAAGCCACGAATGATACTATAATTTAATTGGCAAGTAATACATGTTTGAGAGGAAGGTATAAACTCTCATGCTATACTTGCACCAGGCATTTCAATTTTTATATTGAGTTCCTTTATGTCTCCAGGTCTCTTTTACCTGATCAATTTACAACCTTGTCGAAGGACTAAGTTCTTTGGGATTAAATGTTAGAAGCGGTGTGAGATTGTTTACCATTACCTGGTAGCTTTGCTCATGTTCACCAGCATGTTGTCCTTGTACCAGGTAAAGTTCAGGCTGTAACTGCCTTGAGCTGTACAGGACAAGACAAACTGGTCCCCGAGATGAACTTCTCGCTCGTTCACCTGATTCAGGCGCAGGCTCTGAAGGGTGACAATTAATCATAGAGACTTGCAAGGATTAAATTGTAAATAATGGTCCCCTCGTTATATGCTACCCTCTAACATAGCTACCTACTCGGATCTACAAGAGGGTGGACAAAAATAATTTGAAAAGGTAAAACACAATTGTCCATATAAATTGTCAAATGTCACTAATGGCAGGACACCGTGTACTTATGTCAAGGCAACATATAACAACGGTGAAGATTCATCGAAGGGTACCTGCAACTTAAGGGCTGGCTTCTGCTGAAAGGTGAAGTGAGTCGACTCAAGTGAAATCTCGCTAAGTCGTCGACGCTGCACCAACCTGTTGAGGGACTCTCGAATCTTGTCCCCATCCTCCGAATTCCCAAAGAAATGGAAAGTGATCTCGGACGTGGGTCTGCGTAATTAATCTCATTCAATGACGACTCTCTAATTCTCTCTTATCGATACACAATGAGTTTTAATTCGCTGCGACGCAGGCGTTCGGCAGTCTACGCGGTAACTGACCTTTTTATTGTTTAATGTACCTACTCACGTCACGCTCAGGATTTGTAAATCCTCCATAGACGAGATATTGGAGTGCCTCAAGTACTTGGTAAGCTGCAAAGAGACGAAAACGAATGAAGAAGCGGTGGGTACTTCTTGCATAGAAGGAACAACAACAACAACAACAACAACAACGAGTAGTTGGAACATCTCTTTATTTCCATAAAAAAGAGTACAATGAAAACTCCTCAACGGATCAAGATAACTCCATTAGTCGATTTGTCGAGCAACGTGGCAGCAAGCGACACGACAAACGGTATCTTGCAATGGAACGGATTAGAGATACCAGTGAATCACAGAGTCACTGTCGTTAATTACACACACGCAATTACAAAATAGTGCGATAACAGTTCTCGCAATCAATAATTACAAAAATAATCGCCTCCTATTTCTCATACTCATCGTCACGATCTAGCCAGCTACAGCAGTAAGTTCCTTCTTAAAACGTTACTCCTCGCCTGTGCTGTTTAACAATTAATTATTCGGCAACGTCCGACGGACGTTCGCGGCGGTCGATATCCATCGAAGAGAGCAGATACTTCCATTGGCCTCGAGTACGCTAATCCGTGCGTGTTCCTAACGGCCCGTCGAACACCGTTGACTCGATTAACAAAAAAGTCGACACCGGACGCCCCCCGTCGATCCGACGGCGCGTCGCAGGTTCACCGTCTCGGCGTAAACAATCACGCGACTGAGCCCAGTCGAGACTAAATTCGTTTCGGTGGCTTCCCAAGCGGTCGCGGGATTCACTCAGGCGGATCGAGGAAATATGGATCGTCGTTGGAGATCAACACGCAGGACAGATCGCCGCTGCCCGGGCACAGGTGGTTCCGTATCCTCTCCCTGGACACCCGTAACACCTTGATCCCCGTCTCACGGCAATAGGCTTCCAGTAGGATCATCTGCAGGTGGCTAGCCGAGTCCATGTCTGTGTCGAACGGCACCAGGCAGATTGTGCCCTGGCTGTTCTCGCATTCTTTGGACGCCAGGGCCCGCAGCGTGGGCAGCATGCCGCAGGTTATGGTCCCCTTAGGGCAAGCATCTTTCTCCGTCCATAGCGGTCCACTAAAAGTTTAATTGAGAAATCAATTTCCTGGACTCAGAGTCTCAGACGTTAGGTACATAGTTAATCACCGTCATCCAAGTAAACACGTTGCGTACCGGTAACGAGAAATCTCGTTTTTATGTGAAGAAACTTAGCTGTAACTTTGCTAATTACCACGGCATTGAAGAAATATAAAATTTAATTCGAATCGATTCTCTACTTAAAATATATTACATAATGATATCCGAGTTTTTCTATGTATAGCGATACAAGTTGATTGAAAATTGCCATCAGAATTCAGTTTTCCGGAAAGTACGCAATGTGCACAACGAGCATAAATGTTACGTTCTAATTAAATATTGCTCTGTTATCGAATACTATATTGCAAACGAATAGTGCAATAGAATATGAAAATTTGTCTCTTTTAAGTTATAGCTGAGGATGTTTCTTCGCGTAAGTTCTAAATTATATTTCGGTGTGCATGGTAATTAGCAAAATGACTCAGTAGAAATTACTGATGCTACTTGGAATTTGAGAACGATGAGCCCACGAGGCGTGACCGGTTAACTGGCTTATTTCGCGAATACACAAATATTCCATAGAAATGTAAGTTTACAGTGACAGGTACGTGACGCAATACAGCGCAAGAGTTATCGCCAAGAGAAAGTTGCCGATTAACGGACGAAAGTTTCAAATTCTGAAGAACTGTGAAAACCGAGAACGATCTATAGTCTCTCCGACGCTAGAACCGGCCACGTTTCTTGGAAGCGGCGCGACCAAGTGTCAGAGCATACCGTACCTTTCGGACACCGTGGAGCCGTACGCGTGCAAGCTCTGGCAGCGAGTCATATCCGTGAGTATCTCTTCTTTCTTCGGCGTTCTGGGGTTCCTCCCGGGCGTACCTCGTTTGCACACTTCACTGAACGTGGGAATTTTCTCGGCTGTGATTGCCAGGTTATCGCGAGGAACACACTGCTCGTCGATTCTCCACTGATTCACTGAGATCTCCGCTGTTCTCCGTTCGTCCGACGGGCACAAGTCACACGGCTCTGCTTACGCAACGGACGAAAGTTTCCCGTGTTCGGCTCGAAGCTATCCGGCACGATAAAGGGTTCTTTGCTGTTGCGCAGTTGCGAAGTTAACTGTGCGGAGCTCTGGGAACGAGTGACCTCGGCGGTCGGCGCGTGCCGCTTTTATACGCGCGCCACCGCCACCGCCGCGCCGCCTCACCGACGCGCGGATATTCCAGATAAAGCGCGGGGCGGCGAGCTTTTTATCGACACTCCGAGCAGCTTTACCGAGAAACGAAGTAACGCGAAGGACAAAAGCTTCCTGGTACTCGGCCGCACGCGACTACGCGACCTTTCTCAGCTTTCGAAGCGTTTAACCCTTTGCACTCGAGCGGCGCCTTTTGATCGCCGTTTGATTTGAAGAAAGTGATGAAATTTAGAATTCAATATCAGATTTTGTATGATGTGTCGATGTATGGAGCATCGAAATTAAATAGTTATGTCGCTTAATTTTTGCAAGGTGTTTCTTTATGTTGTGAAACATATTGATGTCTTGTAAAGTAATGAATATTTGTTGAAATATTCTCGAGTACAAAGAAATGGTTATTTCTTATTTATGTTACTATTTTAATTTCGACTATTGTCTGAGTTGTCATCGCTGCTGTCCATTGTCTTTATTGCAGATGCAAGAGTGCTTGAACCCTTTGCGGTCCAAAGTGCTCTTGGTTTCTCACTTTGAAGTTCAAATCGACGTCAGTTCATTCAACGCACTCTAACCCTTAGCACTCTAGATGGTTTTGTAATCTGTCAGCAACTGCAGCTAATTTTTATAGTACCTCCAATGAAAATGGAAAATGCTATAATATTCCTTCAATCTTTTCTTTCCATTCTCAGTGCAAAATTTGGATGTATGGAAAATCGAATAATTTTAGGGTAGTTTCTTTGATTCATTAAAATATTCAATATTACAACTGGTGCAATATTGGAGCCTACAGAGTGCAAAGGGTTAATATGACGCTCTATTCATAGAAAAAAATTAACCCGTTGCACTCGAGAGGTGACTCTCAGTGACGACACGATTCGATACAACAAAACTATTGAATATTTAATATTTCAAATAGAAGTTTGAATTGCTACGTGAAATATTTGAATGAAACACCTCTGTTGCTTGATTTATCTATAAATTATCGTTAAATTAGTTTAACACAGTTAACTGGCTAATGAAAATATTCTTTTCAGGATGCCAGCAGCATCAACGCATCCTTCAGCGTTTCCCCAAGTTTTAGGCTGAAAAAATCGCGCCGCGTGCGAGCGCGTTCGGCCAGCCTACTACTATCGCTGATCGAAGTCGCAACGAACTAGACCGCGTGGAACGAGAGGAATTCCGACGCGATCCGCAGGAAAGTTGCCACGTCATGTCTAACGATTCAGCGGAGTCGTTCCGGGCCGCTCGGGGAGCTGCGCGTAGACAGTGTCCGGGTCAGGGACTTCCTGCGTCCGTTCACAGAAGTTGTACCGACCCGTTGTGAAAGATTCGCCTCTTCGGCGCGTACCGGGTGGAAGAGACAGGGGTGAAGAGGGAGGAAGGTGCGTGACGCAGCAATTCTCCCGGGCAAACTGGTTTCACTGCGTGCGGAACGTTAGGCTCGCGGAATTTCTGGTCTAACCGACTCTGCCCTGTTCCTTTGCGACGCAATCGAGACGAATCGACCCTTTGCGGACGGACGTCGGCGTTTCTGGGAGATGAGGTGTTCGTATTTGGAAGACTAAGTCGCAGAGAAATGATTTAACCCTTTGCACTATGAGCAATTTTTAATATAACTTTTCAGCAACTCCGAATCAGTTTTAATATGAACTATCAGCTACGAGCGTGGCTCTGTAAAAGATTTAAGACTCTGTTTTGTTATTAAAAAACAGCGTATACATTTTAACGTTATGTTTGACTAAAAAGGAAGTTGTAAACTTATCTTAGAATGTCGCCGTTGCGGCGACAACGGAGTGCAAAGGGTTAATTGCTCTGGCAGCAAGAGAGCAGCTCGTAGTTTCCTTTTTTCCTGTTAATTAATTGATATTTAAATTCGCTTGTTGAAGACTTTGTAGATTTCAAAGCGTCTTCGTTCAAAGCAACCGAGTCATTTAGCTCGACCTAACTTTTAGAATGCTTATAAATGTTACTATTCAAACACTATTGGCTTTCTATCTACATTTCAGAACACTTCTAATCTTCGTTTGCTTGTAACGCAACAATCGATGATAGAGAAGCAATTTTTGCTTGGAAGCTTTTCACTAGAAGCATTAGACACTCCGATCGAACATACGACACTGAAACGAACTAATCAGAAATGCGTCAATTAAGAAACAAAGCTTTATAGAAACACTTCACACAAAACTGAATATTATAACACTTTGTAATTATATCAAATCAAATGACTGAGAGTCACCTCTCGAGTACCAAGGGTTAATTTAGACTTGAAAGCATCAACATTCAAGCCACTCATTCTTAAAATACCATTTCCAAGCATTCCAAAAGTGTAGTTGGTAGTTTGTAGTCTTCGCAATGACTCCATTCCGACGGTGTAAAGCAAGAGATTCCAATACCTTTGAAAGCTACATACATCTTTCCCATTTGTCGCTAATAATCGTCGATCCGAGACGGTGAACCACACCGCGAGACGGATCGATGACACGTGTCATTGTCAAGAGCTACCTATGCACGTACCGCGTTGTGTGCCGAGCCATGATGCAAACAACAACGTCTGAACCCGTTCGGTTTCATCAGCCCCGGAATCGAACTGGTTTGTCCCGCTGATAACCGGCCACGGGAATCGCGAGGGAATCGTGAAAAGTCGATATTTCGCATCTGTTCTTTCGTCTCCAATATCTTTTGTACACAGATACAGTGAATCGACGATGGCCGATATAAACCGTCCGTCTTTGTCCGACCAACGTAATCGTAGTTCCCTTTTAAACCCTAATAATAGTGATAATAACAATAATAGTAATCATAATAAGCGAATCGATCTGCTCGACCAGGGGCGAGCCGCGAAGTTATAATTAAATTGAACGCATGTAACGAGCCGCCGTAACGATTCTATTTTAACGACGGCACGCTGGAAAGTTAATTCGTTGCGTAACCGATCGTCGCATTTTTTTATAATAACGGGTCCCGCAGATCCTTTCGAATTCCAGGACGTGGAAGCGGTCGATGGAACCTGTAACTTTCGATGGAATTTCTTTTGTCAACCGTTACGATTTTCTTTGCGACTAGATGCAGTGGTTTTATGTGACTATTAACGATTTACTGTTAATTAATGATATTATTTACTATTATTTAGTATTGATGATATTATTCACTGTTATTTACTATTAATGATATTCACTATTATTTACTATTAACCCTTCGCACTCGGAAGTTTCTCACTAGAAATATTTGGACATTATCTGATGAAATATAGACGACATTGTTTGAAACTATGTTAACGATAATTCACAGATATATTAAGCAACAAAGCTATTCTATTTAAATATTTCACATTGCAAAATGTCATTTCGATTTAAAATACTGAATATTGAACTTCATAGTTTTGCTGTATCAAATCAAGTGGTGACTGATGGTTTTGTAATTTATCAGCAGCTGCACTAATTTTTATGGTATCTCTAGCGAAAATTACAAATGCTATAACATTTCTTATATCTTTTATTTTCCTTAGTGCAAAATTTGGATGTGTGGAAAATCTAATAATTTTAGGCTAGTTTCTTTGATTCATTAAAATATTCAATATTACAACTGGTGCAATATTGGAGCCTACAGAGTTCAAAGGGTTAAATGGTACAATTGTGATACTACAAATAAATATAGAAAAAATTGTTAAAACAGGTTGCAATAAAATAGAATGTCGAGTCTGACTCGAGGACTGCTAAGGGTTGACTTTCTCGAAAAGATCGTTTTCGCGTTTCATTGTTGACGCTTTACATTTTTGTTTCAGCTTCGAACGTGTGCTGGATAGTGGGGACTCGAGCCTCGATCGGTCAGCCACCTTGGCTCGAGAGTAGACGCGGCTGCGAGCGGGAATCCCCGAGTCCTTAAGCAAGGGGAAATTGGAGACTGGACTGTCCGCCTTCGGATTATTCCTCTGCAGCAATGATTCTGGGTAACCGGTCCGCTAAAAATAGCGCGAAAGCACGGCCGTGTTTGCACGAGACCGTTCACCGCGATGACAATGCATCTATCGTTAGCAGCATCCTCGATTATCACGTGCCTTCTCTCGATCTGCTTTTCTTAGCTGTCGCGCGAATGTTTATTTATGTTTATTTATCATGCGCTGACGTTTTTGTGAATGGGAACCGAAATCAAAGGCTGGCTTCGAGTTTGTACGGACCTGATTCTCGTGCGTGATTAACCCTTTGACCTCTGTAGACTCCAATATTGCACTAGTTGTAATATTAAATATTTTAATGAATTTTAAGAAGACTACCCTAAAATTATTAGATTTTTTATTGTGAATTATTAGATTTTTATTAAAAGATCGAAGGAATGTTATAGAATTGAAATTTATAAGCCACATTGCCATGAATTTAACCCTTTGAACTCTGTAGGCTCCAATATTGCTCCAGTTGTAACGTTAAATATTTTAATGAATTTTAAGAAGACTACCTTAATATATATAACATTGGTTATAACATTGGTAGTTTTCAGTAGGACCACCATCAAAATTGGTAGGAGCTGCTGACACTTTATGAAACCATACGGAGTGCTAAGGGTTAAACGAACGGATTCACCCGTATGCGATATTAGAGAATATCTATTCGAACTCTCGAAAAGCATGTTCTTATGTAACAGCTTTTCTAAGAAATCGCGAACCGGTTTATTGAACTCCGATTACGGCGATAAGCCATTGGCTAACCGTAATCTCCTCCGGTTCCAATTCGGAATTACCGAGTGTACAGAAAATTTCATATAAACGAACATTCGATGATCTATCCGTAAAACGATCCGTCTAGTAATCCGACGCTTCTGAAAGCTACAGAATGATCGACGTGCAACTCGCGTAATTTCTGTCTCCCATTGCGAGCGTCGCAAAATATACACGTGCATAATTCAAGAAAACAATCGTCAGTCAATTAATTAATAAAAGGATGATAACAATTCCTTACTCGATGTCCAAAATTATCAACTCGTTGCAAAGATAAGAATCGTTTCTTGGGACGTTAATTGAAACGTCGTCTTGTACTTTCAGAATAATTCGTTCAACGACCCCGTGTTACGTATAGAAACATTTTCGACAGTCGTGCCCGAAAATTGAAAACCGTCCGTCCAACTATAGGAATTCGGACGAGGGATTACTGGAAATCTGGCGGGCCGTTCGTGAGAAACTCGGTGACGTAAAATGGCGCAATTTGCCCCCGCCCCGCGTAATCCAAACGTTCGGCGACCGTCGAACGCACAAAGAAGAAGACAGAAATATTATCTTATCGGCGCCAGAGTCTTGGGAACGGAAAGGAGAAAAAAAAAATTGGAATTCTTCATTATCTTACTCATAAGATTGCGAGTCGTGATATCGTTCCGGGAAGACGGCGTTATCTGCAGCGTTATCGTCGAAACAATAGTTCCACGAGCGTTACGGAATTAGTAAATACACTCGTTGACCAAATTAATTACAAAACGAAGAATATGATGTTTCGTGGTAAGTTTAAAAAAAAAGCGGAGGAAACCGGTTTGGCCAACGAGAGGTTCGAACGGATCGAACTTTTTTCCCGGATAATTCACCGGTTATCCGAGTAAACGGAACGCGGGGAAGCACAAGGCGAAACGGGAAATAATGACTTTTTCCCTCTCGACGTTATATTCTCGGACGGTATCTCCTGCCGCTTATCTGCGCCGATTTTATCGGTTTGTAATATACACAAACGAAGTGTCGCGACACTTGGAACGTTTAGGAAATTATCGCGATAATTGTGCAACGATCGGAATACGGCGAATCAAATTTAAGTAAATCTCGAAAGCGATGGCCTTCCGACGACTACGAAACGTCGAGATTAACGATCGGATGGAATTTTATATTTTTCGGTTAATTTCGAGGTTGATCGGTGTTGGCAAATTCTCGAGCGAAAAAGCGAGAGAATTGCGCAGCCTGGTCAGTTCCCCGTATCTCGAGCTGTTAAGCACCTGTATCAGGCCACGCTCATCGGAAGCCGATTTATATTTAGACCGGTTCCTGGAACCAATCTTCTTATAGAAATCTTTTGTTTAGGCTACGCCGCGATCGGGCCGAAAGCGTCCTCGGTGTTCCGCGGAAGCGTCTGGCGGGCTTGGAAACACGTCATTGGCTCGCCGCGGCTTTTTCGGGGGACCGTCGGATGGGAACCAGACTTGGTAATGAGTGGCGATGGGTACTTGAACTCTGAGTTCGGAATAGTCGAGGATTTTGGGGACTGTCGAAAGTTGAATCAATTTGAGTAGGGGTTCAGATTTGCTGGAGGTGGAGACTTTGGAGAGTTTGAGGGTTTTGAGGTCTGGTGACCTTTTAGGCTTTAAGTTTTGAGATTTTGGAGGTTTTCGGAACTTTGAGACTTTTTAGAGCTTAAGACTTTCGAGACTTTCGAAACTTTGAGACTTTTTAGACTTTGGGACGTTCAGAACTTTGAGGCTTTTTAGATCTTGAGACCTTTAAAATTGTGAGAGTTGTAAGACTTCAAGACTTTTAAGACTGTGAGGCTTTTTAGACTTTAAGATTTTCGAGACTTTCGGAACTTTGAGACTTTCGAAACTTTGAGACTTTCTAGACTTCCAGACGTTCAATACTTTAAGACTTTCGAGACCTACAGAACTTTGAGACTTTTTAGATCTTGAGACCTTTAAAATTGTGAGAGTTGTAAGACTTCAAGACTTTTAAGACTGTGAGGCTTTTTAGACTTTAAGATTTTCGAGACTTTCGGAACTTTGAGACTTTCGAGACTTTCGAAACTTTGAGACTTTCTAGACTTCCAGACGTTCAATACTTTAAGACTTTCGAGACCTACAGAACTTTGAGACTTTTTAGACTTTAAGACTTTCAAAACTTTCGAAACTTTGAGACTTTGAGACATTCTATACTTCGGGACTTTTTAGACCTCAAGACCTTTAAAATCTTGAGAGTTGTGAAACTTCAAGATTTTCAACACTGTGAGACGTTCTAAAGTCCAACCCTTCCAAGTCTCTGGAACTTTCAGACTTCCAGACATTCGATACTTTAAGACTTTCGAGACTTGCAGAACTTTGAGAATTTTTAAACTTTAAGACTTTCAAGACTTTCAAAACTTTGAGACTTCCTAGCCTTCGAGACTTTAAGACACTCAATCGCAGGATACCGAATCCTATTTAAAGTGATCCGAATATTTCGCAATGTTCTATCCATTTGAAACGATTAAAAATCTTGATAATTCCTCGCCAGGTACGAGCGATCGCGAGGAACACGGAGATCTCGAGAGATCACATGACGCCGGAGATCGGATTGCATCTGCTAACGCCTAATTGCCACTTGTACCACGCGCCGTTCTTGAACGCGCTGGAAGAGGACGAAGCGAGGAAGGCGGTGTTCACGGAACCCTTCTGGTCGATTTACTGGCCAGGCGGACAGGCGTTGACGAGGTTTATTTTGGACGAGGGAAAGTCTCTCTTCTCGGGATCCGCGAAAACGAAGGTTTTGGACGTGGGATGCGGCTGCGGCGCCGCCGCCATTGCCGCGAAACTGGTCGGCGCGGGAATAGTCGTGGCGAACGATATAGATAAAGGTACGGTGTGAAAGTTAATTGGGTCAGAACGTGCTCAGAGATTGATCGGTGTAACGATCAATTATGTAATAGGCACATATTGCAAGAAAACCAGCGGAACAGCTATATCGATGTTGTTATCTGGATTATCTAGAAAGAATGTTGACTCATTGCCTACCACGGGAACCTCGAGTGTTCTATGTATCGCTTATCCTTTCGTCGCAGAGATAAATAGAAACAATTATTAATCATTTCGTGTACTTCCCAGTCACTCGAAAACAGTTGTAACAAAGAGATTAACGTCGAATAGAAATAATTAATAACGCGACTGAATGATTAACATTAGGTTTACGAATATTTATCGCACAATAAGTTCTACTGCTCTTAGGGAAATTGAGATTCGTTCGATTACCTTCTGATAATTAGAGATTTAAGCGTAGGTAATTAGGATACATGTTCGTACAGCTGGAAGATCACTCGATAACGCAACGTCCAACGTTCAGTTTTATAATTGCAAATGCTTACGTGTGACTCTATCAGCGATTAGTAAATCAGTAATCGAAAGTATCAGCAATTTAGAAACAAAACCAACAGAGAATCGGCTGAGAAAGTATCGAGCACTTTTCCCGTCGCGACCGGTCAACTAACCGGCTGTAAAATCAAGAGAAACAAGTTAAATGATAAATGTTTTGCAGTGAAAACAGACAAAAGGAAAGGCAAGGATTGAGAAACTGAGCGATCGGACGATATAGGAAGTGATATTAACCAATTAAAAATTAGTTGCAGTTGCTGATATATCACAAAACCATCCGGAGTGCAAAGGGTTAACACCAAAACCATCGGAGAGGTCAAATGACCCATGCCTGATGTCTTCTTTGTGCAATTATTAGGAAGGTAACAAATGTTTCTCTGAGAAATTATTAAAGAAATTCATTTACTACGCAAATTGAATTGTAAATCAATTGAAGTCCGAACAGATGCAGTCTTGGAGTTTCTATAGCGAAATTTTCAAAAGTCAGTCGAAGTGCTCGGTAGTTTTACTGTTAACTGGTGCAATATTGGAGCCTAGAGAGTTCAAAGGGTTAATTTACCAGACGTATCCTGCAGTCTCGCGCGGGATTTCCGCCGGTTCGTCTGGGTTGCGTCGGGTTCGTTCCGAGCGGAGCCGGTTCTTCACCGGGAACTCCCTTCCACGAGCCAAGATAACTGCGGGAACTTCCAACGATGGAGGCCGCGTCGCGAGCCAAGACAATAATTGCGTTTCACTTGCAACGAGGAAACGCGATACCTTCTGCGATGCTTCTTCCCTGCTCGCGATTTTGCATAATCGCGAATGTTGTCAACGTTCCTCCGCAACATAGTTTCCCAGGGAATTCTCCGCAGCCTCGATTTTGAATAACCGCTCTCGATCGAAGCTGCAGCTGCTTTCCTCGCGAATATTATCAACGTTCCTTTGTAACATTGTTTCCCTCGAGCCAACGGCGTTGAAACCGGTTTCGAACCAATCCGCTTCTATAATTACATTTTCGGAGAAACGAGATAACGGCCGGTCTTCCGCTTTCCTCGTAATCGGCGGCCACGTTTTCCGTGTCTCGTGCGAACCCGAACCGATAACTCAGCCCGGACACCTCCCACCGTTGATACGCGGAATCGTTTTAATTCTTCGTTAACGAACGCTTTTTCCTGTACGGAATTCCGCGACGCCGTAATTCGCTCAAGCTCGCCCCGGAATCCGTGGAATTTTCACGTAACCGTCCCTCGCCGTTGGAACGGCGCTTTATATATAGAATCGCCGCCTCTCCGCTGATTGGTAAAATATTCTTCGTCTTTCATTCATCGGCTGAGCGAATATTTCCGTGGAATACTGAATGACTTCTACTTTTAGCAACGAGAGCAATGGCGACGGAGAGGGAGCGAGATTTTACTTTTCGAGGAAAATTAAGAAAAACGGAATCTTCTACATAGAATTTGTCAAGCTTGATCACAATAGTCTCAATTATTAATTTTCAATTATTTACGTGTTTGTCGGTAGTTCATAGTGTTTCTAACTGGATGAACTTTAACCCTTTGGCTTACTTTACGTCTACTAAGCACGTGTACCATTTCACTAGAGTTTCATTTCACTAGTTTGGAAGAAATGCAACGAAATTATACATTCTGCTTCAAGTGTGAAACTTCATTTGGAGATGATATATTGATAACACTAGAACTACCGAGCATTTGATACCATTAAAATGTAATCGCTACGAATATTGTAGCACAGTTTGCTTTGATCCGTGGGTAATGAACAACATCGATTGTTGTTGGGTTTAGAAATTGTTGAGTTAATTCTTTCGTAATCATTGAAAGCATATAAATGCTTCCTGAAGAAATGATTGAAATAGTTGATTTATTAACCCTTAGCACTCCAGATGGTTTTGTAATCTATCATCAACTGCAACTAATATTTATTTTATTTCCTGGTGCAATATTGGAGCCTACAGAGTTCAAAGGGTTAATATACAAATTAAAGTACAACATAACTGACATCTTAATCAACGCACTTCTACAGTTTCAATGAAAGAATGTTTGAAAATCGGTTCAACTGCTCGGCAGTTCCAGCGTTAAAGATCTACGCATCAGCTGGTGTCGATTTTCTTTCGCAAGGTGGATCGAAGCCAGCGATCGCGAGAAGAAAGTCAGAAATGTGGGTCAGGCCCGACGGTTTTTCCCCGTTTCGCAGAGAGACGACCGGCCGCCGGAAGGGTCCGGCAGCTCGTGCGTCAGTGAAAGGCTGCCCACTTCTGGGTACCACGCTCGCTGCATTCTAAATTGATCGGGCTCTGACGCAGCGGCGTTACGTCGGGCTTAATTAATCCTATCTCCGCCGGCGGTCGCCGCGAATTCGACGTAGCTCTGACGATTCGCTGCGAGCGAGCCGAACGGTTCGACCGAGGATAGCGATACTTGGCAACAGGTATATTCGCGCTTTCCAATCGTCGCGCGAGCAGCTAATTGGTCCGATCGGTTGACGCGTTTCGTACTGGACCGATTTTTAGATGCTTTAGTACGATTCAATTGTTTTATTCTTGACCTGTGCTGAGACATTAACCCTTAGCACAAAATGATTTGATTACGACAGCAAGAGATCAGCTCGTAGTTTCCTTTTTTACTATTAAGTAATTGATATTTAATTTAACCCTTTGCACTCGGAAGTTTTTCACTAGAAATATTTCAACATTTTCAACTTTAAAGCATAGTAATCGATGAGAAGAAATACTATTTCATTTGTAGTTGAAAGAACTGCATGGTATTTGTATTTATGAAATTTTCTTTAAAATCTTCACGAACCCCATACGGTATTACAAGGCAAGTTAATAAGAAAGATTACTGTGACAAACACGTGGTTGATCATTTACTCTACCAGGCGACCGTCGACCTAAACGGAAAGTTCACTTCAAAGGTGACTCGAGTATTTGAAGAATTTCGTGAACGCTTGAATCGACTTTTCATATTTAAACAAAGACATATTTTTTAATACATATTTTCCATCTTGCAGAAGTCGAAATGATGAAAGTGACTTCAAGGGTAAGCTACGTTACACATTTCACAAATTTCCCATGAAAGTTTCGATGGCTGGCTCAGATCTAACTCCGTAGAAGTAGTTTTCCAGGTCTGGGGACTATCCTGAATTTCTCAGTGCAATCAAGAATTCACTCGGCCGAGCTCCAGCTGGTGGCAGCTTTCTCCTCAGGATTGGGGAGCCGAAGATCCGACGCGGTTCTAGGACACGCGAACGTGGCTCGGGTCGCGTGGCCACGAAGAATCGTGGCGATTGCATAATCCCGATCATCCTCCGTTGGATCGCGAGGCTGGCTGCCACGATCCGTGCGCCGGTGAAAGTGAACTTGAAGAGGCCGCGTGAGATACCGTCCGTCCGACCTGTTCCTGTCCTCACGAGGAATTCCATCGCGAGACCTTGGCTCGGTTTGGCTCGCGTGAATCGGGCCGCGCACGAGCGAGTCGACGCGTCCGAACGGGACACGAATGTATGTAGTTCACGGTAGATAGAAGGGATTGACACTCGCGGACGTGAATGTAGCATTGATCTCCATTGTGATGGAAAATGACATGAATGATGTAGCATTGAAATTTATAAGCTATATTGTCATGGATTTAACGCTTTGAACTCTGTAGGCTCCAATATTGCTCCAGTTATATTAAATATTTTAATGAATCAAAGAAACTAGCATAAAATTATTAGATTTTCTATTGTTTATTATTAGATTTTTATTGAAAACGAAGGAATGTTATAGCATTGAAATTTATAAGCTATATTGCCATGAATTTAACGCTTTGAACTTTGTAGGCTCCAATATTGCTCCAGTTATATTAAATATTTTAAGGAATCAAAGGAACTACTATAACATTATTAGATTTTCTATTAATGCAGTTGCAAAATGCAAAATTAGTTGCAGTTGTTGATAAATTACAAAACCATCTGGAGTGCTAAGGGTTAATTCTATGCAGCCTTAGTTCTTTGAAATTATCATGCACTTTAACCCTTTGCATTTGGAAGTTTCACTGTACGAACACTTCTTTCTTTAGTTTTACTTGTTTTTCGTTTAGCTAGTAAATAGTTGAGCTACTGAATTGAAAGAGTTCGAACTTTTGCATCGACTCAATGGTTGTTTAACATTGTCTTTTATCAATCGCGACTGGCATTGTTTTGGAGAACTGGAATAGATTAAATTCGATTTCAATTGATAATCGTTGTTGGGTGTATGGATTCTATATCGATTTGATAACCGTGATTTATCCATTTCGAGTCTGCATCCTGAGAAAGTGTTGAATGGCTTCTCCGAAATTGCCGTTCGAGTGTTTACGTTGATAAGACGGAACGCCTCTCGCAAAACAGGATTCCTCGATCCGAGCAAAACGAATCCTTCGTCGCTCGGGATTTCCGCGTCAGCTGGGAATCTCTTAAGCGCACCCGGAAAACTGTCTGTAATTCCACTGTTTTGATTCCGTCGTTGCATGTGCGTCATTGTCTCATTGTTTCCACGATTAAAACGTCCAGAATCATCTCTCGCTTTCTGATATTCCCGCTGGCATAATTTTATGAACAGCGTAGAATCATTAATGTCAGTTATCTAACATTAAGATATAAAAAGCTTTGTTCCTCAATTTACTCGTGATTTCTCTTCGCGTTCGTTCCAAAGAACATCCTCTTTGTCTACCTAGGAAATAGCAAGGAAATTCTAACGCAATACTTCCGAGTGCAAAGGGTTAAATCTGTGTTTGCCTTCCAATGTTCGAGTGATTTTCTCTAATACGTTGAGACAGAATGTTTGTCATTAACTCGTCGCACGTAATTATACGTCATTAGCAATCAAGTGATCTAGAGAGTTGGTTCAAAGTGCATCCACGCAGGTTCCAACTGCACAGCGTGTCGACCACGTGGATCGGAGCGCGCGTCAAAATGGCGCGACTCCCGTCGAGCGTTATCTTATCCTGCGACGGATATTCATTGAGCACGATCGTATCGGTACGATTGCTTTCAAGGAAAATTATGATCGTCGATCGGATTAACGTGTTGCGTTCGTATTTCGAGGATTCGCGTCTATTCGCCGATCTTTATGCGTTTCTCGTTGTCGATAACCCGAATGAGACGTAGTTGTTCCTGTTATAGTCTCGCGACGAGAACGTTGACGATTTCAAAGTAAACGGAGGAACAGCGACGTCATTGGAACCGTTGACAGCTTAACACGTTCCGTGCCGCGTGGGGCGTATGCGTATAATACCAAATAATTTACCAAAGTTTACCATTATAAATATATATGTAGCCTGGAAGGCCAGGAACTTTTGAGCGCTACAGTAATGATATATATATTGATATATATTTATAATTATAAATTATATAATATATATAATATATATAATTTATAATACCAAATGATTTACTAAAGTTATATATATATATATATATATATATACCAAATAATTTACCAAAGTTTACCATCAGTTTACCATTAGTTTACCAAATGATATTTATGAAATTCAACATTCACGTGAGCTTCTTTCGTTAACACTGTAGTAATACCAAATAATTTACCAAAGTTTACCATTAGTTTACCAAATAATATTTACGAAATTCAACATTTACTTCAGCTTCTCTCGTTAAGACCGTAGCGTTAACAACCAGCCGGTCCTTACAAAAATGATAACGTATCCGGTGCATTACGCAAGCGAGGCTATCGATATTGAAAACAATTTCGGAGATGGATCGGCGCTCCCGCGATACAACTAATTACAAAATGAAAAAAAAATTAGTCAGCTGATACGGCGGTTCAAGTGTTAACCGTCAATCCCGACCGCACGCGAACCGATCTGAATCGGTACCCAACCGGTTTCTCGCCGCGTCCCGCGCCCGATAAAACCGGTTGGATCGGGAACTCGTAACGGTTTATAAACAGTAACGTTGATTTTGTAACGAATTCCCTTGTTCCACAGTTAACGAACGCCGACGCACGGTTACGCGTCACTCGGGGATGCGTAATCGCGGTAACGAGCGTTTGTTGCGCAACGCGGAGTTAGTTTCCATCGGCGTTTGTCTCCTCGATAACCCCGGGACTGAAGAACCTTAACGCGTTCCGTGCCGGCACCATTTTTTTTTAACACTTTCCCTTCAGGCCGCTTTGCAATTATATTGTTTTGTTTCTGGAGTATGCATTGAAATGATTAAAATGATGCAAAACTCGTAACTGTCGAGAAAACGGTGTATAGTTTATGACGCGTAACACAACGAAGGAATAAATTTATTTTTTTAGGAATTAGATTAACGAATATCTGGCTGATAATGTGTAATTTATATTATTTGGTATTATAAATTATATATATAATTGTATTGTTAATTATTAGAATTTTATTGAGAGATCAAAGGAATGCTATAGAAATTTATAAGCCACATTGCCATGAATTTAACCCTTTGAACTCTGTAGGCTCCAATATTGCTCCAGTTATATTAAATATTTTAAGGAATCAAAGAGACTACCCTAAGATTATTAGATTTTCTATTGTTAATTATGAGATTTTTATTAAAAGCGAAGGAATGTTATAGCATTGAAATTTATAAGCCATGAATTGCCATGAATTTAACCCTTTGAACTCTGTGAGCTCCAATATTGCTCCAGTTATAATATTATAACTTTGGTAAATTATTTGGTATTACAAATACCAAATTATATATATATAATTTATAATACCAAATGATTTACCAAAGTTTACCATTATAAATATACATATAGCCTAGAAGGCCAACAACTTTGGAGCGCCACTGTATCTCCCAATCATCAATCGTCAAGCCTCTAATTTCCGAGATCTAAACAAACGAGCATCAATGATTCCAAGAGCACCAGCATCAACGATGCAATAAACGTCGGTAGACGCAGCGTTGGCCGGTCCAAGCGGTTTTCCTTTGGAGTCCACGGAAGTCGGACTGCGCAAAGGATTCCCGCGACCGCCGGTCACGCACGCGTTTGACGCATGGACCTAATTCGCATAATGCATGGAAGAACGTCTTTGATCGCCGTATGCACCTGTGTGCTTTCAGTTGCGTGCGTAGCCGCCTCGATGAACGCGGCGTTGAACCACGTGGACCTGCAGGTGTCGCAAGAGAATCTGTTGCAACGACCGGTTGGGAATCTCGCGGACGTCATCTTCGTCGGGGACATGCTGTACGACGAGAAGATCGCGGTGACGTTGGTTCCTTGGCTCGAGGAAGCGCGGGAACGCGGGACACGGATTTATTTAGGGGATCCCGGGAGACACGGTTTGACCGAGGACTTGAGGAACCGTTTGAGATTAATTAAAAGTTACTCGTTACCGGAAACCGTCAAGAGAGAGAATTACGGTTACGATAAATGCGATATCTGGGAATACGTTGGCTAAGGAGACTGTTTGCAGATTGCGTACCGGTAGTGAGAAATCTAGTTTTTAGACACTTAGCTGTAACTTCGCTAATTAACGCAGCATTGGAAGAAATATAGAATTTAATTCGAATTGATTATGTATTTAAAATAGATTATATAACAATGTGATGTCTGAGTTTTTCTATGTATAGTGATATAAGTTGATTGAAAATTGCCATCACAATTCAGTTTTCTGGAAATAAGTCGGTACCCAATGTGTTCTTTAATGATTAAATACTTCTGATTGCAGATCGAAGATTACACTGGCGTGGCGTTTGAAGTTTTGAGCGGAGAATTGCTCGATTGATAAAATGCTGGCTAATCTTTTAAACACTCCTTCATCTGATGGATTCTGATGGATTCTTTGTGATATATTGAAGCACTTTGCGGTGTTATTAATTAACCCTGGGAAGACTAAGCCTCGAGACGACGCGAGACACCTGCGTAGAAGAATAATTCTCTTTACTGTTTTCGGGAAGAAATGTCTTCTTCTGTGTCGATTTTGAAGATTATTGCCTAATCAGATTTTGGAAGCGTTATAAATTAGAGAAGCTTTTAGTATCTAACCAAGACTAGCGATACATTAACACTAGAACTATCAAACCGACCAATCTCTTCTTTTACAGTTACTGTAAAAGTACAGACGCTTCTTTAAGAAATCATTAAAGTGGTTTAGTGATACCTAAACTGAAATACAAGCCAATTGAAATCTGAAATTCTGCAAAAATGCACCCTGCATATTTGAAACATTTACTCCAAGAGTCAACAAGCTAAGCGTAAGCTCTTGCACTAGAGAATAGTTTCCCAACGAATGTTCATTATTTTCTGAACAAGTGTCAATGATACCTTTTGCAACTATCAAAGACATATATTGCATACATTAAGGGGTGGCTGATGTGTTGACACAGTATACAAAATTGAATACTGAATTGTTTCCCCAATGAATATTATTTTCTGATCAACTGTCAATGATACCTTTTGCAACTAACAAAGACATATTGCATACATTAAGGGGTGGTTAATGTGTTGACACAGTATACAAAATTCAATACTGAATTGTTTCCCCAATGAATATTATTTTCTGATCAAGCCTCAATGATACTTTTTGCAACTAACGTAAAGACATATTGCATAGATTAACTCTTTGCACTCAAGAGGTGACTCTCATTAACCACCTGATTCGATGCAATAAAATCATAAAATTTGATATTTAATATTGAACTGTGTATAGAGTTCGTATCAAAAAACATCGTTTTTGTCTAGTTAGAAAATGCTAAATATTTTTAATAAAATACTTCCGAGTGCAAAGGGTTAGGGGGTGGTACTGCTTATATCAATGTTCCGTGATTTGACACAGTGAAAACTCAATACTGAATTCGACACGTTATCATTATACTGGCTCAAATTAAATGGCGTCTCTCGAGTGCAAGGGGTTGACGTTCAATAGCCAGCAGCCTTGAGGAGTCCGCCCGCCAGTTTTCCTCCGGTTAACGATGTTATCGCGTCGGCCGCTGCGTCTGGCAGCGATCAGATCGCGTGGCCGTTTCAGAGTCGCTATAGTCGCACGATCGGGTCGCGTGATTAAATAATAGTCCTCGGCGTTTGTCATACGGCAGCGCGTGCTCGTTCGTAAACAACCCGCGGTGCCCGGATTTATGGCGCGCGCTCGGAGATTGCGAAACGGGGGCCGATAACGCGATCGCGGCATTGTACGCTCGTTCCGCGTACTATCTCGGACACCGAGCACCGGCCATCATCTTGATCGGCTGCGACGACACGCAACGCCGATCCCCTCTTCACCCGCGCGGTCAGCAGATTTTCTGTCGCCGCTTCGCCGTGAGTCACCGGATCATTACACAACCGCGGATTCCTCGAGCGATTAACACTTTGACTGTTGAACCAGCAAGAAGTCTCGCAAAAACCGAAGCGACGAATGGGAAACCTTGGGAAGAGTTCATTGTCACGAACGCACTTTGAACTTTGCGTAGATTCCATATGAATTACCATTTTTGTATGAATCGATCTTAGAGTTTAGTAATCAAAGTAACACTAGGTTTACGGAATGCGTCAAATTGACGCACATTGGATTTTAGAAATATTATTTTGTGTTTACGCCGATTTTGATTGATCGCACTGATATGTACCCCGATTACCTACTATCGAATCTCCAGTTTTCAGAATCGAAATGAACGAGCATCATTCTTTTAGGAATAATAGAATGAAGACGATAAATGCCCGTGAACCTAGTGTTAACCGAAAGACTGTTCATTCTTTCATTTTCTTATTTAACCCTCTGCACTCGAGAATATTTTTCTCGAGAAAAGTTTCCCTAAATATCTCCTATTTTTCCTCTGTTTCTATCTTATCTTCAGCCGCCTAAAACTCTCACCTCCTGACTCATCCATGTACCTTGATCCTCGAGTCATACCCCTGGAACTCCGAATCATCCTCGCCCTATCTCACCCCACTACTCCTATTTTTTCTTTTAAAAGGGACTAAATCGACCCTGCGAGCAGACTTGGTTCAGCGCTGTCAAACCGTAACCATCGAAATTAGATCTTAGTCGTACACAGTGTAAAAGGCGGCCACACGAAAACCTTTATAATAAAACCTCCCTTGGAAATAACTAAGCGTTGCGCTCATTTCCACGACCGGGAATACAACAGGTTGACGCTTACCTGCTTGCTGAGGTAAGACTCCAGGCTCCCCTGGTGCACGACGGAGCCGGCCCTCAGCGACGTCACGTTCGACAGTTTGATTCTGCACTCGTACCGCGACCGATCTGCGAAAAGCGTGTTTCCCCGGCGCGGTTAGGCAATGGGGATCGGCGGGAGGCTCGACAGGGAAGGGAATAGGGTGAAGAAAAAATTGGCGGCTCACTGTTGTAGATCCTGGTGCCGTTCTTGCAGGCGCACGCCGGCTCGCCGTCCTCGAAAGGGCACTGCATTATGCAATTCTCCGGTCTGCATTCTGGGAACACGCAAACATTGACCTGGTGAAGCGCCGATTCCCATCAATGAGTCACGGTCCGGCCGCGGACGAGGGCGTGACTCATCGGGGAGTTATCCGAGCGATGCGGGGAACGCGTGTTCGATAGACAGAGAGATTTACCGGGATCCCAGGTGTCCAGCAAGCGAATCTGGCAGCGGCGGCCGACGAAACCGTCCGGGCAGTGGCAGTTCATCGCTTTCGCGCCGATTTGCCTGGAATCATATTAGATAGCGTATCAATGAGGAGTGAATCGTCGCCGATGCGGTACCAAACGAAGAATTTCTTATGCTTTTAGAATTAGTATGTAATACTTTAGAAGTACTGCAACGTGTCAAATAGATTCATTTCAATGTTTGTTTTACGGATATTGAAATAACGAAGATAACTCGAATTGTCGAATGAATTTTGTCTGTTCCTCTGGATACAAGAGTGAGATTCCAAATCACAGAGGAGGAATTGTTTTAATTGGTATAGAGATTAGAAATATGTCACTCTGGATGCTTGGTTATTCTAATATTGAAAGACTGGAATTATTTTAGAATTGCATAATGATCTTTAAAATTCGTTTAAATTTGCAGGTATTGAAATAACGAAGATGCTTTCTCGAATTGTCGAATGAATTTTGTCTGTTCCTCTGGATATAAGAGTAAGGTTCCAAATTCGAGGGAAGGAATTGTTTTAATTGATATAGAGATTAGGAATAAGTGACTCTGAATGCTTGGTTCTAGTATTGAGACTTTGGAATTATTTTAGAATTGCATAATGATCTTTAACCCTTTGAACTCTGTAGGCTCCAATATTGCACCAGTGATGGCACTTGGATCCATTGGGACCTAGCTTTTCAAAGGTCTATAGGCGTCGCGAGTTGCTGGTAATCAGTTGATATTTTTGATTGTAGTTGATGATTATAGGGAAGTTAGTGGGACTGACTCATATGCGTACTGATCTGATTATTTGTGATATTCTTTCTTGTAAGTGTCGATTTCTTGGAAATATTTAGTTTGTTCTATCGGATGGTATCTGTCAAGTCCACGGCCACCGACAAGTGGAAGAATTTTGCTTCGACCGGTTGACTTTAACCGGATTGATTGAGTTACTTTACTAAGAGCCAACGGTACGTTAATGCGACCAGTTATTGCCAGTTTTCTCCGTCGATTCGCGTTATTGGGTTTCATTTCTTGACGCACTGACGTCGGGAATTCTTTCAATCAAGACATGTTGACCGTCGAGTCAATTTGGCAGTTCGACGATGATCATCGGTTTTTCTTTGTGAAAAACAAGTGCTCTCTGACCCCAAAAAAAGAAGAAACAAGTGAATCCTCGAATAACTAAACAGAATATTATTAATTCCATCGAAAATTTCCAAAAATTCGGAAATATTAAAAAATCCACTTAATCGCATTGGCCTTTGATCGACTGATATAAGAAAGGAGCGATTTTCATGAAAGGGATAACAAAGGGCGAGTTTCACGGAGGCTCGTATTTTCGATCGAAATGGGAAGTGCGACGACACAGGAACGGCTTCACGATCGACCTACTTTTACTCGGTCGGGACAATTCAATCGAGTTATTGGTGCACGATGATCGTCATTAGTGGCCTCGGCTCGATGAAACGAACGAAAAGTTGGTATCAATCCAGCATCCAGCCATCGCAGAAGTAATTCAATCTGTCGCCATTACGATTTGAACCGCGAGAATGCGGATGTTCGTCGACGAGGCAGGGCGCATCCGATTAACTTTTCAAATATATATTTTCACGCGTATCTCATTTAGATAATGTCACTGATCTTTAGCACAACTTATATTTTTTAATATAGAATGAAGATAATGAACGATGAAAGGTGTGAATATTGAAACACATTTTATACGCATATTTTAGGAAAAGTCGTGAAGTATAAAGGCGATTCAATTACGTTTCTATAGGAAATTCTAATCGAAATTTTGAAAACAGTCATTCGACTGGTCGCGGTAGGGATAGTGTTAATGAACCGATTACGAGCGACTAACGGCTTCAATAAATTTTTCAGAGTGAAGTCGGATCCTCGGAGATTCAGGTTAATAAATAATAGAAATATAATATTGATCTGTCGTACCTGCAGGTCCCTCCATTCTGGCAGATGGGCTCCTGTCTATCGTCGAAACAGAGGGGTCCCTCGTTGCAGTTCCTCCCGTTGAAGTCCTCGAAGCAGTCGCACCAGAAGTTGCTGGGGAGGATCAACAGGGGACCTCGTTATTTGTACACGTGACGGCGGGGGAGTTTAATGGATGCCGGTTGAACGAATGGAAGTCGAAGGGTTCTACAATTCAACCAGTTCACTGTGTTCGAGGGTACTCGCCTTGTAACCCAAACTAATAATCACCGATTAATTGTCCATTCTATAACAAATTACTCGTCTTTCTCAAATAACCTTGTAATTCTTCGTTTTACATTAGTGTCTTATTTTAACCCCTTAACTTGCACGCTAAACAGACCAAACTGTGAAAATAACAATGTGAAAGCAAAGAAAAAAGATCGTTTCATTGATACTTATCATTTATGGGATTGTAAGCTATAACACTTATTTATTCAAGAATAAAATATAGCCTTTTTCCATGGAACAAAAAATTGATTTTTTGGCCAGTTTTTTTCAAAAGAACTGTGCGTTAAGGGGTTAATGTTTAATCAGAATCTTGTATATTTATTTAATTGATCTTATCGCACGACTGAACTCCACAGTCAACTGGTTAAAATTGTTCACTGCTGTTCGATTCGTTGGATCGTCGTCTAGGTTCGTTTGCTTCAGCAATGAGCCAGTGATGACGGTGAAAACGGATGAGAGATCAATTAGACACTTTTAAACAGGTTCCGAAGGGGGTCGAAAAGAAACCGGGGTTCCTTGGAAGCGTCGAGCCATGAGTCAGCAAACTTTCCGCGGGCGAGCGCTATAGCTCCGCCGGTCGAACTTCTCATGAAGAATGCAAGCACGTGTTCCGGAGAGAAATGGGTCGCCTTCCGAGAAAACAAGAAGCTCGCTAACGGCACCGTCCAGATGAAACCGGCGAAAAGAGGTGGAATAATAATCCCGGCAAACGGCAAAGAAGCTTAAAACTATCGTTCAAGCGAATTCGTCTGGTTCCTGTGATATTTTAACTTCTCGAGCAGCCGATTGACGTTCAACACGTTTACCTCCACGAGAATTACGGTACCACTTATTCTTTCGTAACGAAGTCAATTAGAATTAATTAACTCGGCACCATGATGCTCGAGATAGAGTATTATTCGACCATTCACGTTACTAATAATAGAATTACAATAATATTAACTCTTTGCACTCGACAGTTTTTCACTTGAAATATTCTATACTTTTTGATCAGGTATAGACAAGATCGTTTGAAATGAATTTAACCAGAAATCATACGTAAATTAGGTAAAGCTATTTTCTTTCAAATATTCCACGCATCGATGCAGTATATAATGGCTAATGGTAAATACGAAAGTTTATAATTTTTCTGTATCAAATCATCTGGCGATTGGGAGTCAATAATAAATCCTCTGATCCAACGTCATTGAAGACAAGCAATATTTTCATTCCCTTGCAATTGCTCTAAAGAAAATTAAATGACTGGTTTTGATCTTTTTGTTTCGCAATTATTAACATCTTAAAAGCATTCAATAATTCAAATGATCTTGGAAATGAATAGCTTCATTTGAGTACTGTAATGAATGTCTAAAAAAAACTGACAATAAACTGACAATGACTTTGCACTCGAGAGGCGCCATTCAGTCGCCGTTTGATTCGACCCAAGAAAATGATAAAACTTAAAATTCAGTGTTAAATTGTTACATAACGCATCAGCATATGGAACATCGAAGTAAAATAGTTCTGTCACCTAATTTACGCAAGGTATTTCTTTATGTTAATTGTAAAAAATATCGTTGACATTTCATCAGAAAATAATGAACATTTGTTGGGAAAAATATTCTCGAGTGCAAAGGGTTAAACGCTCGGTAGTTCTAGTGTTAAGCATCGAAACTTACGCGATGGTATTGTAATTCTATTTAACCCTTTACTCCAGAGGCACCTCTAAGTCACATGATTTGACACAGCAAAACTGTCAACTTTGATATTTAATACTAAACTTTGTATAATGCATCAATGTACGAAATATCGAAAGAAAATAGTTCTCTAATGCACAGAGAATCCTTAGAAAATATTGAATATTTCCGGTAAAAAGCTTCTGGAGTGCAAAGGGTTAACCCTTTGCGGACGAAGATTCTTTGAAATGTAGAAAACCTTCAACAGATGAAGCTAAATTGTATATTGATTGCTTAAATATCGAAATATGTACGAAATATCGAAAGAAAATAGTTCTCTTCCTCAAATATAAGGTTTCTTAATTCAACCTAAGAAAATGCCTGTATCTCATTAGAAAATATCAAATATTTCCTGTGAGAAACTTCTGGAGTGCAAAGGGTTAAAATCAAACAAGATCATCGACGCGGTTCCAGGAAATCGTCAATTCCCCAGTCCCCGCAGATCCATTTCACGGACGTGGGTATTTTCGCGAGGATCTGCGGCGCAACGGTGAATCAGCGAGAATTCGCTGCCATGTTTACGCGGACGCCTGTCAAACGACTCGAACAATGTACAGTGACAAATAAATAATAGTGCACAATAAATAATAGTGCACACCGCAAGAGAACACCAGAATATCTTTAACCCCTTGTCCTACAACCACGAGTGAGACAAATGTATGTATTACTCAGTTCATTCGAATTCAAAATAAATATTATTCCTCTGTAATCAACTATTACACTTAAAAGGAAATATAGGCGTAACATATGCCTAGAATTTCTCTCTTTTTCCAATAAATTATTAACGACAAAGTAGCCGTATCGATCAGAGCTGAGAAAGAAATAGGCGAAGGGGTTAACGATGAAGAAGTACTGCTAATTCCAGTCAGTTCTAGCCCTATAAATCAATAATAACAATTTTTCACTATTCAGACTTTGCAAACGCTTGAGTACCAGATTGGGGAGTGTTGAGTTGAGCGAAGTGCAGCATGTCTATGAGGTTCGAGATGATAGTACTAATGTCCTCTATGACCTGCTAGACACTTTCAGCGTCATTTTCAAAATGCGCGGACGCACGCGGAAAGAAGCAGGAATGCGCAAAGATACGTGCAGATGGAAAAACAGGGGGCTCACGTGTAGTCCGCGGACAGCAGGCAATTTCCGGTGAAGGAGCAGCGTTGCACGGAGCAGGAATCCGGGTTCGGCTCGACCTCGGTCATCTGGTACGTGACGTTGAACCCGTACACGTCGAGGAGGTCGTCCAGCACCCGCACATGGTTCCCCTCGAGCTGATCGAGCTCGAACTCCACGACGAGGAACGGCCGGAACGTTCGGATCCACCTGAACTCGAACACGTTGCCCTCGGTGATCTCCTTGACCAGCGCGGCGCCGAAGTTCATGCTCTCCGACTCGTAGTACGCGTACTCGGTGAACCTGAGCCCCTTGTACACGTACACCTGCGGGGAAAGGATCCGTCTTGCCTGGCAGACCGTTTTCATCTTTGCACACGAGCATCTTGCCTCTCCTTGTAACAGAGCTCGCGATTCGCGTTTAACCCCTTGGCTACGGCAAAATGTCGCGCATTTCTGAGAGAGTGTGTCGAGACCGTTGAAACACTGAGTCGAACTAAATTAACGCTAAAACTACCGAGCAGTTCAATTACCAAGAGTGCATCTCTTCAGACTTTAATTGATTTACAATTCAATTCGCTTAGTGCTAGATGAATTTCTTTAATAATTTCTCAGAGAAACATTTGTTGCCTTTCTAATAATTGCATAAAGAAGACATCAGGCATGGGTCATCTGAGTTTAACACTAAAACTAGCAGAGGGGTCAAATGACCCGTGCCTGATGTCTTCTTTTCGAGATTATTGATGTCTTCGAAGCATTGAATATTCGAAATGATTTTGAAAATAAATAGTTCCACTTGAATACTATAATGAATGTCTGAATAAACCGAAAGTAATCTATTACTACAATGTTCATAGCGATTACATTTCAGTCGTATCAAATGCTCGGTAGTTCTAGTGTTAATTTCTTCAAGTTAAAACGAATATTTCCCTCTGCACTCGAGAGTTGACTCTCAGTCACCACTTGATTTGACACAGTAAAGCTATAGAATGTAATATTTAACGTTAAACTTTGTATAATGCCTCGATACGTGAAACGTCGGAATAAAACAGCTTTGTTCCTCAATGTACTGGTGGTTTCTCTTCGAATTAGTCTCAAAGAACATCGTCTTCGCCTCGTAAAGAAATGGTAAATATTTCTAGTAAGAAACATCCGAGTGCAGAGGGCTAAGAGACTGGGAGATTGAGAGATTCGGAGATGGAAAGATTGCGAAATTGATAAGCTGAATTGATGATATAGAAATCTGAAACTTTTAGGATCGAAAGATTGTGAAATTGACAAGCTGATGAACTGTCGATATAGAAATTTGTGCAAAGGGTTAGCTTCAGCTTCTGACAACGTTTAACGCGGTTTCCAATTTCCGTTATCTAGCTGAAAGGTTCATCAAGATGCTCCGTGATTATTTGACTGCTGTTTTCATCGGTTGATCCTCAGGAACGCGATTTCCATCGAATCCTGGAGTGTCGTTGCGCACCTGAGTCAGGTAGAGGACGATCGAGCTGTTGGTCGCCGGTATATCGGACACGTCGATCAACCAGCGACACTTAATGGGAACCGGAAACGCGGCGGGAAAGTTCGGGGTCTGGATCACCCCCCTAGGTGCCGTCAGACGATCACCGCACGAAACTTCGGCCGTCGAAGAAGCTTCGATTAAGGTCAGACACCAGAGGGGAATGAGGGAGATGCTTCTGGATACCGTCAGCCTCATCTTCGAGAAATTTCCCTGCAATAATTTATCGGGTTATAGCGTTTAACGCTGAAACTATCGGATGGGTCAGAATGACCCATCCCTGATTCCTTCCTTCACAATTATTGAACTACATTGAACAATTATTAACCCTTAGCGGTCCTATGTCGAGTCAGACTCGACATTCTATTTTGCAACCTCTACCTGTTTTAACAATTTTTTCTATATTTGTGGTATCACAATTGTACTATTTAACACTAAAACTACCAGACGGGTCAAATGACCCACGCCTGATGTCTGCTTCTTGCAATTATTAGGAAGGTAACAAATGTCTGAGAAATTATTAAAGAAATTCATTTAGCACTACGCAAGTTGAATTGTAAATCAATTGAAGTCTGAACAGATGCACTCTTGGAGTTTCTATAGCGAAATTTTCAAGTCAATTGAACTGCTCGGTAGTTTTAGTGTTAAAGGTAACGTTTCAATGACTCCCAAATATTGAACAAATAAATCACTTCTCAAAGTGAGAAACCATGAGCACTTCGGACCGCAAAGGGTTAAAGAAACTGAACTGGAATACAAACTAATTGAAATCTTCATAACACGCTTATAGCTTTTATAACATTTGAAAAAATCGGTTTCAGTGCAGGATACTTCATTCCAACGTTGGAGGTTTCCTCAGAAGATTCATGAAATATTTATGATTATTATAGATCAGAAACGTTCTTAAGGTTACCGTAAGCGAAATTGAAAACAAAAGGAGTGGCTTAACAGGTTTGTCGGCCAAACATTTATCATGCGAAATGCGGGAACGCTTGCTATCCGATTGTAGGAAATTATAATCGAATTTGAGCGTAGTACCACTCGATTGAATCGCGGATAACGAGCGGCGTTCTGCTCTGTGCTCGGTTCGCTTCGAAACGCGACGCAATTAGTGTTAATCAATTCTGTATTCCTCGATGATTGTTATTAATACGCGTGCACCTGCGGCGCGAGCTGCTTGTGTCACAAGCCAATTGAGAGACACTCTGGTCCAGTGTTTATTATTCGCGTGCCAGGCGGGGACGGAATTAATGCACGTGGGAGTCTGATCCCTGATTACGCAAGGCAATCGCTACGCGGTTAAACTTAGCCTGTAGGATTCGGTTGTTTCGTTGCTGTTTGTTTATACAAATAGATAACCGTCCGAGAACCACCGCGCGATATGTAAATATCCCGCTCGACATTAAGAACAAACTTCAAACACAAAATCAATGGACAGCGTCAGTAGCAATCCTAGTTACTTCGGAACATGGAATCGGCGCAATTAAGGTAATTGCGACTCGCTTATTTAGTTACTTTAATCCACGGTACCAACAGGCTCTAACAATTAAGATCACTGTTGTTTCACGCGTACGAGCAAAAGTACTCACAGATCAAGTTACGAGCAGTTGTCAATCGACACCTCTACAACCAAGTTTTCACCAGCGCGAAACATAAACAAAGCGTTAAGAGTTAGCTGGTTTCCCAGCATCCTCGCGGAACCGACTAATCCCAGGAATCTAAACATCGCTGGACCGGGAACACTGTCCCATCAATCGATGAACCGGACCCGTCGATGAATAGTTTTGCTCGTCACCGTCAGGTACAATAGACCAGATTCATTAAAAGAAAATTCAAACATCAGCCTCTCGAATACTAGGAAACAAAGAAACTATGTACCGATCTCCTATTGTTTACATAATCAGATTCTCGGACGGCGAGTTTGGATTCTATTCAGATGCGTGAACCTGATGCGGATGGCACGAGCCTCGTTCTCGAAAGGTGAAAGGTCCCGGGCGACCCTCACGCAGGTGGACAACAATCCGAAGGAGAACGGTGTCCCTGTGCTGGTCGGTCCAGTTCCGGGCGCGCCTACACCCCTTCGTTCGGCCGGGTTTTACACGCACTTCACTGCCGCACGGAAACAACACCCGTAGGGGGATGATCGCGACGAACGTAGCTTACATAGGGGACCCATGGATCCCGGGGGCTGCGAAGTCATAGTATCACGTACGTCGACGCGACGGGGGCGGCTACGGCGGGGCACGGGCCGCCGTGCATCGTGATCGATCTTGTACCGCGCGACGGCACGATTAAAAGCGAGCACAGATTGGGGAGGAAGCTCGCAGAGGGTTGCCGCGGACGAACGAAAGAGCGAGCGGACCCGCGATCTGTCGGTCGGCTGGGCGTTAGCCTCTTCCGCACGACTGATCTCTCAGCGCGCACCCTCAGTTCACCCCTCGCCACGGAGGAGCGGGAAGGGATGCAACGGTCCAACGGTGTTGCCGGCATGGATCAGCGGAATTTTCGTTTCCGTTCGCTGGCACGCACGAGGAGGATTCTGTGAATATGCGGGGAGTAAACGATGTAACATGTTACGATTCCCCGAGTGGTCGGCCGATCGATTTTGTGTGTAGATACTTGAGATTTCGTGTTATACTACCTGGAACAGTAAGAGAAGGAAGAACTTAAAGGTCGACTTTGAAATTAGGTGTAAAGAGTTCGTGTTACTTGCTGGTAAAGGTGGTAGGGTATATGAACCGGTGCATCTTCAACGGTCGTGTGTCGTTGGATACTTTGGGCAGGATAAGGGTGATTAAGAGATGTAACGTTTCTACATCCGGGGGAAGGTAGCGATCATCCGCGTCGTCTGATTAGCGAATAGACCAGTTTTAAACTGGTTAGTCCTGGTGTGATGAGCCGTAGGAGGGGCAACGCGATAACCCTCGACGAGGGGATGTGAAGATAGTGAAAGATAAGGAAAGATAATTGCCGTGTCGATCGATAGATAATACTGGTAGGGCTTCTCGCGTTGAGTTGGTGGATCTCGGTAGAGTTAATGTGTCCAATAAAAGGTTGTGTCATCGGTACGATAACTTTTGCGGTGGTATCTCTTTGTTAGCGTTTAATCAGGAAGCTTGATGTTATTAGAAACGTATATATTTATTTCAGTGGAAATAGACGGGGCTTACTTATCTGATAAATCACGATTGTAATTTATGTACATTTTCAGTTTGAATGGTAACGGTAGGCGACGTATCTTTTCTTTCATGCAGCTGGAGATGGAGTCTCTGTTATCGTAGTAATTGCGATATTCCTCGCCGTCCTTGTGAATTTTGAAAAGCGTTTCCCAATGGCGCAAGGGAGGGTTCCCGTGCGTGGATGGATTCAGGAATTCTACGTTCCATCTGTTGTTACGCCGGTTGTTTTCAATTAATCGCTGTCTGATGGTTCCTTTACACAACTCCATTAACGAGAGGGGATTTAAGGGAGCTTGAACAATAAAAATCGTTATTGTACTAATGGATTATGGACAGTGAAGTTTCATTTTAAAATATACATACGTAATCGAATGTAAGGCTCTACTGAATGAGTGGGTACAACTAATGGGGTAAATGATACTGGTAGCAATCTATCTTCCAGCCAAGTTTGTTCATCAATCTTCTGGTATTGTATCAAATAGTCTTTAAAAGGCATTACAAGGATTCCTCCAATGCATACAAACTGTTTAATGAATGCTTCGTGAGCTTCTGGACATCCTGCACCACAGTATACTCTGTCGTATTGTCTATCAGGAATAACATTGAGACAATTTCCTGTCAAACGTACAATTGCATGACTGTTTTCTGCTTTCTCGGTAGTCACATGTACTTGTTACATAGCTTTTTGTGTTCATCACCTTGTATAAAATGTGGCTCACACAAGTTAAATTCGTCCAGAGCCAGTGACTTCTTCTTAAATTGCTCCAACCTTTCGTATGCATACTTTAAACAATTTTCGTTCAATTCAATACCATGATTTATTCCATTTTGAGCTAAGAAAGGTGCAAAGATATTAGGAGTACTCTGTACAGGTTTGTTAAAAAGACAATGTCCTTACTCAATAGAAGTCCTGCAATTGTACTCAGATAACCAGTTCCTGAACCAATGTTTAAGAAGCTCAGCCCTGGATGCAAACGAAGGCTACATATTGCTTCGAAGTACACAGCATGTGAAGACATATGAATAAAGTCATTTTCCCAAGGGCAATTTCTATATGCCATTGCTTTGTGTGATGGTGGAAAATAATCTGCTCTATCAACTATTCTAAACAGGTGCTCGATTAGTCTGGTATCTATGTATTTACGGCTTCCCAGAAGAGTAAATATGTCACGTTTGCTTTCCCTAATACTCATGTTTGTCCACTTTTTTCAGCACTTATTGTTCTATAATAAAGTCGTCGTGTTTAGTCAGCTAAGTGACTTGTGTTGTATAAAAAATTACAAAATAAATATTTAATACATATTAATCTTTATGAATTTTTTCTGTGAAAAACTAATATTGAATTATTTTAATTATCTTAAACTAATATTGAGTTGATACTGACACTATGCTAAGATATAAATATTAAGAATCTGAAATATCATGTTAAAAATAACTTACCAGGTCAGAATATGATATATCAGTGGCAGGTATCAAAGTTCATGTAAACAAATAAAATAATGAATATAGTAATGTCCAATAATATATTTCATCTGTTGAGGATTGTATTATAAAGAAATATTAAATATTTCTTATATATTATGATTCTTCTCTCCTAAAAAGTAATGCAGTAAATTGTATTAAAAGAACAAATTTAGCGGAAAATAAATTTATAATAATCGCATCAGTTAATAACGAAAATCGTAGAGTTCCGACTGAACGGAAACGTTAAAAATTCGTTTAAAGAGAAAGGGACGATTGCAATAATTACATTATTCTTGAAACTTCTTTTTATTGGACCCTCAATGTTCAGTATTAGCTAATAGTATGACTAACGATGAAGATAAAAATGAAAATGGAAAAACAACGGAATAAACGGAGAAATGAAAAGACGATCACTAATTTTGTTAATTCCAAGCTCGGGAGCACAATGACGTTGTTGCTATGGAAATCAACTGCTAAATATACGCTCCCCGCTGTATCAATTCAGCTTAATATCTTATGTGTCGCCAGTATTTTTTATTTCAATCGATATCAAAAGCGAAATAACGGAGGATTTCTGCAGAGTCGAACTCCGGCATTTTTCAAGAAGCAACGCTCAGTACGCATGCGTGTACATCTGAGAGATCCATTCAATCAGATTACCGAATACCGATTATAAAATTTCGAGGTATAAATATCAAAGCTTATAATAATGATTTCGTCCCTGTAAAAAATACTCTGCGATGATCTTAATTTAATATTTTTGTACCGTTTAATAAAAAAAACAAATGCACGTACATTTCCCTTACGCATTTCGATCGATACGAAACGGATACAATCCCACATTACAGAATTGAAAATTCAACGGAAAATTAACAATTTCAAGATAAAGCGAAATGAAACTGTACGTTCAGTCTTCTGTAGACCGGCATCATTGATGAGACGAGACCTAACCAAACCTCGCGTTAGATCCGGACAGAGCTCAGGCCCGTACGAATACTCGGTTTTAAGAACACTATTTTTTCAAGTGAGACTAATGAAAATTGAAATACAAGTAACATGTTTAATAGTCCTGAACAAACTCCGGAATCCTTCTTTTAAATGTCCGTGAATAGTCTCATTACGACGCATAACGAGATGCCTGCGCATCTCGTCTACGAACTGTAGCTTGAACTATTCAGAAGTATATATAGGTACTTTGTAAACATAAATTATATACATGTGTGTACGTATTATATATTTGTGGTGTGTGCGTGCGTATATATATATATATATACATATTATGGTTACGCGAGCTGTGCATAGTGAAATGTATTTATCTTGTATATTTTAAATTAGAATCGATATTATTGTAAAATGAAAAATGCAATTAGACGGCATTAAATACATATATATATTTTGGAAATGATTAAATAATTTTTATCTGATATTCTATATTGTACGAATGTGAATGAGTCTTTACAGCAGAAGCAACATGGTTCGATGCGCACGCGCACTTACAATGATACCGTCTCCTCGCATATGATGGCGACTGACAACTTTAAAACGTGAGTTTATTATCATATAATTTCTTATGTATACAATTTGCAGTCGGAGTGTAAAATGTAACAGTGGCATCATTAAATATTCAGATCTCTATCGATCAGGTAATTTTTTTTAACGGTGGTCGCCCGTTAGAGTGTATCCTTAAAATTACCGCTCATAATTCGTTAGACCAACATTCACTTATCCTAGTAAGTATACCTATAAAGCTTCCCGTAACTTCTCGCGCTAGTGTACTTAGAAAAAAAATAACTTATAAATTGTTTTCTGTATGAATGCAACATGCACGAATTTTCCACAAGTTTTCACAATAATCACGGCAATCTTTACGCATCTTCCTTCTGTTTTTTTAATTTACCACCGATTCATAATTGAGATACTTATAACACTGGCGAGTTTGGGTACATCGATAATGATTGCATCTGCATATTCTTAACGTGGAATTTATTACGTTAAAGTTGAAATAACGAGTGGCCTGTTGTTTACTGATTATCGGAAACTTTTTAAGTAACCTCGACGCGTTCGGTGGAGGAAATATTAGCTGGCCGAGAGGATAGGTGTTACACGATTTTGTTATAAAATAATAAAAGTACACGTAACAGTTGCATCAGGTGAAACGAGCAACAATTGAAAAATCGTTTCCAAAACGGTACCACTCGATTCATGTTGTGTTTCCGAATTAAAAGGACACCTGTAATCGATAATCGTGTCGTATTGTTATCGTTATTATTACATTGTATAGATTTTATAAAATATAAAAAATTATAATAAATTATTCAACAGCAAGCTGTCTGTCGGTAGTTTTAATACCTCTCGTACATTAAAATGTATGAAATTCATGCGTCTGATAAGAATTTTCAAGTCAGAATATATTTAAAGGCGAATCAATAATGCCAGCGAGCATTACGAGTATTAGTTTTATAGTTTGGAGGTTAACGCAGAAGTATATCGAAATCGGAACTCTAGCGCTAGCTCGACCGGCAAAATCAGTCTTCCAATTAACATTTTCTACGAATCGATACGAACAATATTTTCACGCATGGTACAGCAGAAAATATTGATCGACGACGAATTCACGAAATTCCCAGTGGCTGCTCGAAATTGCTGTTTCAAAGGCAGAATCCTTTTCCTGATCGCACGTATTACTCATTTAGCCAATCCAGTTACGATAACAATACGACGTCACGCGAGTACCAGCCGCCATTGGTTCAAACCGGGGGGGAGAAGGTCTCTGTAAAAATAAAGCAATAAAATCTAATATGCACCCGTACTCGAAATAAACTTCAGTCGCTAAACAGCATATATTCTATGCTTGTATTCGACGGACGATGCACGGTATCGAGGAAAATTTCAATTTTTCCGGTTCAACGATACAACGGGACGACGGTTAACGGCCGAATAACATAATCATTTTTTTGAAACAAATATCGGTCCGGTTCGCATCGATCTGGAGGACGCAAATTGCTCGTCCTTTTTTCCCCCACGGACGATATTTGCGCGGGAGAATGATCGTGACGCGTGATCATGAATCGTGCACCGTTCGCACGATCGGATTTCGATCGATCGGACGGCTCGTTCGTGCTCGACGGTTATCGATCTACCGATCGACGGTCCTTGAACGATTTCAAAATTGCTGGCTGCTCGGGAAAAATCTGTACATCGAATGCGGTTAGCAGCGCATCGAGAAACCCACGATTGGTTCAGATCACGGACTCGTTTCTCGATGTAGCAGGGATTAACCAATGGCGAACGGTCTGTTGCGCCGTCGCCACTACACTCAGAGCCTATGAGGATGTAGCTGTAGCGTACGGAGAATGAAGGTTCGAACGCTCAAAAGATATGCGAAAAGAATCGTTCGAAAACTCGTGGAAATCTAATGTGGTTTCCCATTTGTTTACCGTCGTGTAATTGTCCGCGTCGCGTTCGCCGTTCCCGTGGGAAGGATTAATTTTCAGCACGGCTCAACCAGTGTCTTTTATTCCAGTGAGAAGTGTGCGTGCGTGCGCGTTGTGTTCGTCGCGAGTGATTCGTGATGCGCGACGGGAACGAATTTTGTAAAAGTATTTGAACACGGATATCTGTTCTGTAACCAGCGGGAAACCTCGCATTCGTGGTCCACCGGTTTCGCGTAGAATGCGAGAAACAAATTGCCTTCCGTCCTGCGGCCCGTTTGAAAGCGTGAAAATTATTAACGTAACTCCACTCAGCAGCAATAATAGTTCGGCGCGTGTTTCAAATCGCGTTAGCGACCCTCTTAACGCCCAGTTATGGCTATTCGCGAGCACGACTGCGTTTGTTATTAAGGCTCCGGGGTCAGTCTGAATTTTTTACCGCGTTCCCCATTGTTTATTATTGCAATTGCTCGCGAATTATGTAACTAGCAATAATTCTATTGGGTGATAGGAGACATTATACATTGTTAGGTTTGTAAAAAATGATAACATACTTTTCCCTTTGTGCTTGTACCCGTAATTTGTTTGTGAACAGCTTTCTGTATACGAATTCGATTTTATTTTTATAGCAATTCCCATTTTACGATCGTTTCACGTTATATCACTTGTTTTATTATAATTTTCTCACTCCTGAATTGTGAACACATCTTGGACAATTGAGTTGCTTGTCGGTCATGTTTTTTTTATAGCTTTCCCAGTTGCATATTTTTATTGTCTACATTTTGTTGATATTGTGTTGCAATGTATTTTGAGATCAATAAAGTACATGTTAAAATTGATTGTATTGCTTGAAGTTTTCTTTTTCGTGTTTATTATGCGGGGACATTAATTCTAGTATGTAACTTTGAAGTCGCGTAGACTCTTGGAAAATACATTTGTGTTGTGTTTTCTTGACAGAATGGAGGAAGAAATAGTAGTAGACGATGTTGATGAGAACAGTAGCACAGAGCCTCCACAGTCAGACGATCCAACGACTCCCATTATGCCTTTATTATATATTCAACAGAGTAAATTACGTTCTGCACCACCAACAACAACAAATCAGACCTTGGTCTCACCGAATGCTACTCAACTTGCTGCCATTATCAATCCAGTTAACAATCAGGTAATATATATTAATAATGTATTTTGATAATATATTTTAAATTCTTAACATATTTCTATTTGTTTTACATAATGCGTACATTGAATAAAAAATATTGGAAAATTTTATTAATCGCTAATCTGTATATATAATTTGATTCTTACATAAGTAGATATAGTACTTTGTACTATATGCTACAATAAACTGCATGGTTACTTATATAGGTCATAGTAACCTATACTTGTATAAAATGATCCAGAATAATTGGTGTACTCAAAGCAACCACTGTTGAGTGTAAAACAAGTTTCACCGTATCATATGTGAATTAATATGTGATCTACACATTTAAAGTTTGAAATCATTAGATTTCATGTATAGATGGTAGCAGTGAGTGGCATATCTCTTCATAGTAAATATAGATTTGTTTAACATACTTTGTACAGTGAATTGCCAGCAAAAAGGCAAAGATTAGATTAAAAATTATATCTGTAAACAGTCAGTACTTTTTAATGCATTAAACCAGAAATCTTAAGAGCCTATTTTTTTGGAGGAAATAAATTAAATAAGTAGGGGATTGCATCAAGTTATACAAGTTTTGATAATCAGAAGTGTTTCCCATGGAACTGCCAAAGTCATTGCATCAGCTTTTTATAAACCTGTGGATCATTTTCCTGTGAACGGTTAAATATTTGTGCTGTTCTTATTCTAGATTGTCACTGGACAAAACAAAGTATTTATACAAGGGCCAAGTCAGGTTACCACTTCACAGAGTAAACAACATATTGTGATCCATCGGCCAATTAATACTGTCAGTACAACTGCAACATCACAAGGTCAAAAACACATACTGCTTAGAAAGTCGAACGCATCTACTGCTCAGATCGTGCCATTAAGTTCATCTCAGGGTAATCAAACAAATGCACAAGCTGGCAAGCATACATTTGCATACCTTGGGACACTCATCAAGCCAAACAAATCACGTGAATCTGTTGTAATTCCAGCAGGTGATAAATTTTAATTTAATAAGAAAATTATAGGTAGTTGAAATCATCTTTTTACTGGAAATAATATTAATTGATTTGTTAAAATTTCTTAATAGGAGCACTAACGACAACTCAGATAACTAAGCCGAAATTAGTGATTGCCCCAGTTATATCTCAATTAGCTCAAACATCGACTAGTACTACGACAGGATCTCAGAGTCAGCCTCCCAAGCATATGGCGAATCTGTTATTACCAGTCAGTATTCCCCAACAAAGTGGACCTACTAAATCTAGTATGTTCAATTTAAAAATTAACAATGGCCAAATTAGTACAGAAAGTAAAGGAACTATCACTGGTACGTATTCAGAAGAAATTCCTGTTTTTTATGTTTCCAAATTTGAATGCATCCATTGTGTTCGTTTTTATTATAGTTTTGCGAGAGTCGAAGACAACAAATTCAGCCACACATCCGCCGCCGTTGCATCCTATCGCGAAAATGAGTTTGCTGAACGCAAATAAGGGAAACAATAATTCCACAGACAGTATAAAAATTACAGAAAATCCTGACTCTGCTGTGATCACTCCTATTCCAAAAAAAGATGACAGTTGTATGCCCGAGAAACGGAAGAAAACAATAAGCAATATATTAAGGGGATCCAATGAGAAACGACTGAAGAAGCAAAACCTTTCGAAATCTCCACAGGATAGCATGGTCGAGGTTACTTATGCATTAAGTAGTCCCGAGTCGGAGCAAGATAAAGATAAGAAAGTGCAAAATGACGATGATATTACTTTGATCAAAGTAGTTCCAAGCGAGGATAAAAGCATCAAGCTCAACGCTAGCGTGGACGATGACATAAAAATAGAAATTATTAAAACGCGCACGAGTTGTGTAGAGCCGGTGTCGGACAATAAACATGATGTTAAACTTATTAATCATGATGATCTAAAGGATCATTTAAATACCAGTCATACAAATGATTCTAATTTTGATGCTGCGAAAGTGCTAGATTGGAAAGACGGCGTCGGTACTCTCCCTGGAAGTACATTGAAGGTGCGTTAATTAATTTTACTGAAAATACACAAATTCACATTTTATAACGGTACGTACATTTTACAGTTCTGTATGAATGAATTCGGTATTATGGAGGTAGTAGACGAGGATGAGAACAACAAACAAGGGAAAGACGGTATTGGTGATAAGGAAAATGTTTGTTTAACACAGAATTCTTCAAAATCCAGTCCCTTAACTGTTAATAATGTGAATTCCGAGAAAAAATGTAAGTGTTAAAATAATTAAGGCGATATATATGTCTTCTCTAAGAATTGTTATTCAGTATAAATATTATTTTTTATAGCGGATGATAGGAAATCAAGGACTGTTTCTGCAGACACAATGTATCATTGCGAGGGTTGCGGGTGCTACGGTTTAGCCGCGGAATTTGAAAGTCCAATATCATGTAGTCCATCGTGTACAGAAATAATAGAAGCTAAGAAGCAACCGTCGATGCGAAAGGACAAAGACTTAAAGTACGCTCTTTTAAACATCATTCGATAAATGAAAACGCTTAAACAAATTCATATTTAAAATTACATTTTTGGTACAGGGACATACGTGCGAAACGGAAACGTAAAAGATTGCTGCAAGAACAGCAGCAATCTAAAGAACTGGAGGATAAATCCGATGAGAAAGGTCAAGATAAAGTAAAGTCTGAAACGGATGAAGATACGAAGGACACCATCACAGGGATAGACGACGAAAGTCAAGGAGACTCTGCGGAGTCTAAGGTAAGTGAGACTTGTGCATGTGTCCAGACTTTTTGAAACATACTGCTTATAAGTGTGTCTCTGTATGTAGTATCCTTGGCAGACAGGAAAACTCGGATTCTCGTGGTCTAAATACCTTGAACATTGTAAGGCAAAAGCTGCGCCTGTTAAGTTGTTTAAAGATCCTTTTCCCTATAGTAAAAATCATTTTAAAGTTGGTATGAGATTGGAAGGGATAGATCCAGAACACCCGTCACGATATTGCGTCCTTACAGTTGTTGAAGTAGTGGGCAAGTTACTTTATACCTTTATTCCAATAAATATTTCTCGCCTGATGAAGCATCTGTTTAATGTTTACTTTTAAAAGCAGGTTACCGAATACGTTTGCATTTTGACGGCTATCCAGAGAACTACGATTTCTGGGTGAACGCAGACAGTATGGATATATTTCCCGTTGGATGGTCGGAGAAGAATGGACACCGGTTAGACCCGCCGAAAGGTTATGTCGCCAATAATTTCAATTGGAACGGATATCTCAAGATTTGCAAAGCTACTGCGGCACCGAAAAATATATTTTCGAATAAGAGTGTAAGTGATTCAGTGTTGCGTTCAAATCCCTTGAAAGTTGTTACAAAATTTCTGAACGGATCTCACTATTTCAGTCGGTCTTTCCCACTGGATTTCGCGTAGGAATGAAACTGGAGGCAGTAGATAGGAAGCATTCTTCGTTAGTTTGCGTAGCTAGTATAGCAGGCCTAATGGACTCTCGTATATTAGTTCATTTCGATTCTTGGGACGAGGTCTATGATTACTGGGCGGACGCGAGTTCCCCGTATATTCATCCGGTAGGATGGTGTCACCACAATGGCCACAGCCTTACACCACCCAACAGTAAGTAGAAATACGTTTATTCCTATTCATATGAATTTCCGAGTAAAAACAAAATATTGAATGTTCTTCTTGATTATAGATTACAAAGATCCGAAATTATTCACGTGGGACGCGTATCTGAGAGAGACTCGTTCTATGGTTGCACCGGCTAGAGCTTTCAAACAACGACCGCCCTGCGGTTTCAAACGTGGAATGAAGTTAGAGGCGGTCGACAGACGGGTGCCCCAGTTGATAAGGGTGGCAACGGTCGAAGATGTAAAGGATCACATGTTCGTATATTATAAATATGTTTTCGACTATCGGTCAAATTAAGAAAAGTCACTTGAAACAACAATTTATGTCCTAGGTTGAAAATACGATTCGATGGATGGCCGGAGAATCATGCTTATTGGGTCGATGATGACTCCCCGGACATACATCCCATGGGTTGGTGTTTGAAAACAGGTCATCCTCTGGAGCCACCCTTAAGTAAGCGTTGCAGACACTTGTTAACGAATTAAAGATCGAAAGACTTACACAGATAAATTAATGTTTGTAATCAACTTTATCACAGCTCCGGACAACTTAAACGACAGGCCAGAGTGTGGGACGTACGGATGCAGAGGAATAGGACATGTAAAAGGACCTAAATACGCAACGCACAATTCCGCATCCGGTTGCCCCTACTCGCCTCAGAATCTTCACAAAGTCAGGCAACTATCCGACAGACTGAACCTGAAGCACGAAGCCTGCGATTTCGAGGACGATGTATTGGATAAGCCGAAAATAGAGAAGACTGATAAAATTAAAATGGAAAAGTCTGAGAAGCCCGAGAAACTGTTGTTCGCGGAGGACCGGTTGAAGACTGAAAAAGACATTAAACAAGAAGATGGGGAGCTGTCCGATAAGAACGACAAGTCTGAAAATTCGGAGAAGTGAGTTACACGAATGTTACTGTCTTTGTATGTTCATTGGGATTATATAAGTAAACAATGATCGTTGATGTACAGGTCGAGTAAATCGAAGCATCATCACAGCGACGGTCAAACCGACGATGACGAGCTTTCAAGGAAGAGAAAGAAAAGGTAATTTTGATTATTTTATATTTGTATTTATTAATTATAACACCTATTGTATTGCTGCAGACGGCAGATTTCGGAGGAACCTTTGTATTCTTTATCAAACTATGGCGACTCCGCGCTGACCACTGCGCCGTACGCTGCAAACATGCCTGACAAGCAGTTGCGCATGGAGTTGTATCAGTCTGTGTATAATCCCGGTTACAATCCATTACCAGACGCGCCACACATATGGGCGAAACACAGTAACGCTCTGAACAGAGTGGTGGCGAGGCAAAATACGAATCCTCGACGGTGGTCGAACGAGGAAGTGATTAAATTTATTCAGAGTATGCCCAATTGCAAAGAGATCGGGAACATTTTTAGGAAACATGTATGTACCCGACATGTGAATGATTTCTTGCGAAATCGTTGTATCGGTTAATGATCATGAATCATTCTTTCCCGCAGAATATCGACGGCGAGGCGTTTCTAATGTTGACTCAAGAGGATCTGGTGTCTCTTCTAGGACTGCGCCTCGGCCCCGCAATTAAACTGTATAATAGTATAGTTCTCCTACGTCGAAGGGCATCGTGAATCACGTGCGATGAACGCACATACAATTGGATTTTAAAAAGTGCAAACTGGCAGCTATCATGACGATATTGTCGACTGTATTCGTTTCAGAAGTTTACGAAATTTCCAAAGTAGGAACGTACTTTCTACTGCAATTGGAAACGTTTATTTAATGTCGGGAACAGTGGGTAGACTTGTAATACATCGATCACGCGTGAAAAAAAATTTATTGACAGGCCGAGAGGGAGGACGATAATGTTTAAAAGTCAGATTGACGATTCCACTGATCTTTTGAGGTATAATCATAGCTGGGATGTACGTGCATCATAAGTACTTACGATTGTCCTTTCTAATTTCTTTTCCTATACAGTGAAGTGCATTCAATCATGTACAAATGTAAATACTAATGATCTTAATAATTAAATATTGTAATACAAAAACATCAGAGAAGTCTAACAACCAATCACCCTAACCTGCTGTTTTACGTGCGCGGTCACGTTTTTAATTCAACGATTCTTCCAGGACGATCTTACTGACAGAAAAAAATATGAAATCCAGTATTTTTTATAACGGTGTAGCATCAAGTAATAGGAAACGTTTCTCAACACTTACGTAAGAATGAAAATGTATAAATGCATAAGTTAATAAATGAAAATTATGATCTCACTGAACTCCCCGATATTTCATTTCATAATACACACAAATCAATGACCTTACGCCAACACTTATATTAATCTACTAATTCTTTTATCACAAAACTACAGTTGAATCTAAATACAAACGATAGATCAGAAGCTATCGATATCAACCCTTCGCACTCGAGAATTGTTTCGCCATATATATTCCTGATTCTCTAATGAAATATCAATGATATTTATAATTAATATTAATGTAAATAATATAGAAAGGGTAGAACTATTCCATTTTAACGTTTCATGGATAATTACGTTAAACGAACTTTAATATTAAATATCAAACTTTGTAACTTTCCTGTATCAAACCAAATGGCGAGTCGCCTCTCGAGTGCAAAGGGTTGAATTTCCGTCCAAACAAAATTCGAAGTAGCGGGTATATTAATTTCCAGCGAAACAAGGGAAGGGCGGTGCTCCATTTAAAAAGCGCCATCCCTTCCCCTTCGTTGCTGATGTTATGCCACTCACGTCACGGCCCGTTCTCCTCCCACCAACCGGCCAAGCGGCTGCTATGGCGATGTTTACAGCGTAGTCAGGACGACTGGCCATGTGTTCAGTCGGTGGCTCGTCGCGCGCCGGGTAGCAGTGAATTCTCGCGCGTCACCTTGCCTGGTAGTTCGTCGTGTCTTCGTTCTCGCGTGACACAACCGCATCACTGTCAAAATCCAAACCGTTCCATCCGCTCTCTCGTGCAGGATTCATTTCCTCAACCGCGGGGTCCCGCTGGCTCGGAAATCGAGGTGAAGATTTCCCGGGTAATTTCCGATCGAATAATCAGTGTCACTGTCAGGACTTTCGAACCGCGATATCTCGATCCATGAAACGACGCGCGATCTGAACGATGACAGTGCCGGTGTCACGTTGGAGTAATCGTATTCTGAAAATCTCGCGTGTCCCAGTTGATTATTTACAAAGCGAGGGAAACGGACGTTCGGACAATCGTAGCCGGTGATCGGTGTCACGTTCGACTCGCGGGACGAGGCAGATTGATTTGAAGGACTATCGATAGAGCGCGGTCGTCCGGTGTTTCCACTCGTTTGTTTCGATAATCGATGCATTGTCGAGGGCGCGACAGAGGGAAACGGGAAAAGTGATCCGGCTGTGTGTGTTATGACTGGAGTATTTTTCGCGCGTGAAAAGGGGGAGAAGGATGCGGGGTGGTCGCCGCTGATCGTTCTCGAGCGGGAGAAACGCGACAGCGTCGAGGAGGAAGGCCGGCCGGTGAAATTCGGCGCGGGATTCGCCGTTGCCACCGGTGGCGCCAAAATGCCCCGTGGCTTGCCGACTAGACGAGGCCTCCAGGCGTTGGCACTCGTTCTTGCCACCGCTTACGCTACGATCCTCCTTTACCAGGCTGTTGCTCCACGTCAGGTGATTATCAACACGTTGAACTCTGTAGGCTCCAATGTTGCACCGGTTATAATATTAAACATTTTAATGAATCTTAAAGAAACTAAAATTATTCGATTTTCCACACGTCCGAATTTTGTACTAAGGAAAATAAAAGATAGAAGAAATGTTACAGCATTTCTCATTTTTGCTAGGAATACTATAAAAATTAGTTGCAGTTGCTGATAGATTATAAAACAACTGATTTCATGAAGCAAAATATTCGAAATGAAGAAAATATTACATTAAATCATTTGATTGGATTGCATTGTTAGTATTGCAAGTTCATTTAGCTGAATGCCACCACGTTAACTAGCATTATTTATAATATAGAAATGTTTTCAAATAATCATTGTTTAATTGAGTGAGCTGTAGTAATTCCATTTGTTTGGGGGTCACCGGTGATCCATAATTGATATCTCAAAGATCTATTGTTAATTTTGTGTCATGACAGCGTTCGCAGGGGCTCAGTGACAGAATGTCATATATGACAACGGTGATTAATGATCAAATGTTTGTGCGTTTTAGAGAAAATTTTGATTTCACCGTTAACAGTTAGAATGGAGTTTTTGCTATAGATAATTTCATTGAATTTTTAATTAATATAATTAATTCATACAAGAACAGTAATAACAATAATTGTTAACAGAGAGATATCTTTTTGGCGGGAAAAAATCACTCGCTAAGAGTGAAGTTAGCTCCATAAATTTCCCGCACTTTCTCGACTGTAATTTTGCAACGATGTTACATGGCGCGCAAATTCAAATTCGAAAGAGACCGTGTTTCGTGTGCCGTGAAGTTTACCGACGTGGTGTCGTTAGTGTCGCGTCACTTGTCTTGTGACGTCGAGTGACTCTTGATGGTTTCGAAGCCGACTTTGAAAAATACAGGTATTCATTTATTCGATTAAAGTTAAATTTCTCTTTCCATTGTCAACGTCCGACCCGTGTAGTAGACACTGAGTTACACTGAACGCAGGTATACTTTGTTCTTTCTAGTTAATTGTCGAGGAGATATAGAAATTAAAAGAGGACAGTTGCGAAGGAAATCGTTGGGGAAGGAGTTAATTATCCTGACCGGTGTAACAGGACCGGTGTCGTCGTTCGAAATAAATGCGCGAAACGATTTCCTTGGAAGTATTCGCCGGTCGGTATCTAGTTATGTTAATCGGGCGACAAATCGAGAGTGACGGGTCTACTCAGTCGAGTTTGTTTTCATTCCTGGGGCCCGAGTAAACATTCGCCGTGCGTGCACGTGCTTGCTCTTTCCCGAGAACCGTTTGCTTATCGAACGGCATCGATCGAATTACCTTCCGTCTCTTATTTTCATTATCATATACTAATGCAATCTACTATTATTTTTATATATTACTGATGTAATTACTATTATTATTATTATATACTGCTAATACAATATACTATTATTATTATGTACTACTAACATACTACTATTATTATGTGTATACTACTACAGTCTACTATTATTATTATATATTATTATTATATATTACTGATATAATTACTATTATTATATATTACTGATATAACTACTATTATTATTGTTGTTACTACTGTTATTATTGTTATTGTCACATGTTTATCTATTATTTGAGCCACTCACGTACCAAGTCAGTCAACTCCACGACACGAAACACAGGGAAAAATGATGCAGCGGTATGCATTAACGAGAAAACTAATGAAATAAATTTTCCATTTCCAGTGGGTGGAAGAAATGACGGTGGAGGTGAACAGTCGAAGCGTGCTGGTGGAGATGCCGGCGTCGAGGAAGTTGATCAACGAGGAATCATCGGTAACACCAGCAATCGCGACGGCGACCATGTCGCCGCCTTCGACGAATCTGGACGATGTGTTCATCAGCGTGAAGACCACCAAACACTACCATCATTCTCGTCTGCCGGCGATCATCAGCACGTGGTTCCAGTTTGCCAAGGATCAGGTAAGTGACGAGTACCTTTCTCATAGACTATCTCTTGACGACTGAATCCTCCAGACATGTGGCACTGGAACATGTACGATGGAACAACAAAATATCGCGAGACATGATTTGCCTAGGTAACGATCCACTATGAGCACTAGGACATTGCAGTGAACCTAATCTTAACCCTTTGCCATATTTTGCCACATTTTGCAGGTGTTTTACTGTTAATAATTTATTAGAAAAAGGACAATCCTACGTTCATCCTATGTCTTCACCTAGAAGCATTACAATAAATAATACAAAAATATCATTCAATTTGCACTTGGAAGGATTAAGTGATACTCATATTTGTCAAATTCTATTTAAACTCTTCACCACGAGTCTGACACGATATTGTAGAGCAACGGGTTAATGAATCTGAAATCCGGACCCTCTTGGAACTTCCCAGCTTCCGGACCTAGCGATTCAGTACCCTAAACGTTTATACCTCAACATTTGGAACCTCGAGCGCCCAGAGCTTCGAACTTCGGCGAACATTTCATCCAAGGATCCACAGTTCAGAGACCCTAGCCATTGTAACCTTCGAGCACTTTGGGTTCTCCAACGGTAGAACGTTGAATTTACGGCGCGATTTAGCGACCTGGTCCCTCGCATATGCGCGCAGCCTGGAAACGACGGAAGCTCGTCGTGGGAATGAGATTCACTCTATTTCCGCTTCACCGTTCCTTCGGCCACTCCGACCTTATTCTCCGTTAGCGTCCTCGCTGTTACGGCCAGCACGGACAACAAGTACTCTGTTCCGTTGACGGAATTTTATCCGTTCCTTGTTCTAGAACCTTCAATACGCAGGTCCACGCGACACGCAGCGTTTCGACCCGTTCCTCCCGGCTCCTCTCGTTCCATCCGGCGAGAAAGAGCCGGTCGCCTCAGGAAGGAGGCGCAGCCTTCGCGATATTATCTCGCCGCGACTAATTGCGCGCATTGTAAATCCCCCCCGCCGCTCCCCGCCGGCGGGCGAAACTTCCTGGAACGGTAGCCCAGAAAAGTCGAGGGGCCAACCATCCGCGCGGCAGACTCCCGTGGCTCGCTGATCCTCGCCGGCTAAAAGACCATTTCGGAGCACTTATCTTGCCCGTCCTGTCGGTTTCCTTTGGAACCTGTTCACGCATCGAGGCACGTTGCCCGAGGAACGCGGAGAATTATCCCGGAGCATCCTGAGATTTTGAGGTGCACGCTCCAGAAGTTTCGGAAACTCGGCGCTGCGAAGTCGCTGATCCCGGGTAGCTGAGATCGGGAATCCTTATTTCGACAGACAGGGAACTTAGGAGAAAGGCTCCGTCTTCGCAGGAACTCAACTGCTTGGTCCTGAACCGAATTAGCCCGTTGCCACTGCCATTTGGCCGGGCCATAATCGCAACGGTTGATATCTCACTCGTGACATTCGTGTTCGCTCTGAAACTGCGATCACCAATCTTTTCTTCCGCTATCTGGACTACAATTGAACCTCGGCTCCCCAGTTTCGTTTCGCCGATCGACCAACGCGCTGATCCCTTTTCCATGGGAGAGTCCCACGGTCCACCCCCGACCCTGCGACCTTTGAACAGTCTCAATCCACCTACACGAGAGCGTTCGCCGAACGAATTCACATTTTCGTATCCCGAAGCCCTTCTACCTGCTCCCTGGATCGAGCAAGAAGAGTGGAGGAGGAGGTTTAATCACGTGTAATCTGCGGAACCGACGGTGATTAAGCTCGCACCGCTGGGACGGGGAATCCCCCGAGTCGTTCTCTGTTTTCGCGACGCGACGCGTCGGGTCTATTTCGTTCTCGCCATAAATTCTCCGGAATAGATTCTTGCATTGTCTCGCGCCGCGCCGGGAATATTGGGAAACGTTGGCGCGGACGGGACAGGGCCGGGCCCCGGGTTCACCAATCCACGATCCAATTTGCGGAGGATGATTTACCGCGTGGAAGGAAATTGGAGTTAGGATGTTGCTCGGAGCGACGGATTGTTTGCGCTGCGCCGGCGCTCGGCTCTGCCTCGCGTTCGTTTAGCGCTTTAACGGCTCGAGGACGAGCTCGGGTAACAGTGAACAATGTGTTTACTAGGTAGTTTACGCTAGTGTAGTCACTATGATTCAAGTAGCAAAGTTCGTCGAGTGAAACCTGGGAATTACCGAGGAACGAAACTACTTGACTTCAGTCGAATGGTTAGACACTACCCTAAATGATACTATAGGTCCCAAGATACCCTCGATACTTGGATTTACAAAGAACTTTGCCAATTCTAGGATCCGCGGACTCGAAGGGACCGCTTCAAGAATATATGTCGAAGATAAGAGGATCTAGGGTTTAGCGAGAGGCTTGCTGCCCGGATAGAGGATCTCCGAAGCGTGCATTAGCGTTCCGACAATGGGCACTCTTGTCCCCGTCCCTTGACGCGAGCGTCTGCTCGGACGCGATCGAATCTGGAAGCTCCGCGTTTCGACAAATCGATTACATCGCGAGTCGGCGAGCCGCGTTCGATCGGCGGCTCGTGATCGGGCAGAGTCATCGCGGTCGATTGCCTCGCCGGGAGCGCGGCGTTACCGTTCGGCCAAGGGAAAGGGGGGGAGAAAAAGAGGCGAGCGTCGGCCGGCGATCGATCGGGAACCGCTTCTGGAACGTTTGTCATTAGTTTCAGTGACTCCACTCGCCGGGTGAACCCTTCAATTTACAAAAGCCGTTCCCCGGCTACGGATAATTGCTCAATTATGTCGTTTATTTATCTGAAAGCGGTTCCCGGCCGCGGCGAGCGAGCGAGCGAGCGAGCGTGGCAATTCCGCGCGACGAAAGTGCACGGTGCTTGCCCGAGTTCCGTGGCTTTTTTCAGCCGCGCGTTCGGCTGACCTTCGGATTGATTGGATGCCACCGGTTCGATCGCCGAAGGGACCACGAGGTGGCTCGCGCGTGGAACTGTTCGCGCCGGTTACGTCCTTCTCTCGAGGGAGATGCGAGTCGCTCGGGTTAAGTCGGTATTACCTTTTTTATAAATTCTAATGGAATGAGTGATATTGTTTCTAGTTGTAGAGGATTCACTCGGTTCTTCGTTCCGTCTAGGTCAGCAATGTTTGTTTTCTGGACTTAACCACATTGTTCTTTGAGTCACTCAGGCGGTTATGTCAATATTACCTTCTTTCTAAATTGTAATGAAACGAGTAATATTGTTTTGTTGTAGAGGATTCGGTCCTTCGTTCCGTTTAGGTCAGCAAGCTCTGTTTATAGCTTCTGAATACGTTGTATAATCATTTCAGAAACGTGAATTCTCTAAATGTTTGTTTTCTGGACTGCATTGTTTCTCGAGTCACTCGTATAGCGAGCTACTCCAGTGAAGCTTGTTTGATTAGATATACGACTTGTTACAAGTTATAATATATCTTGCTTGCTTGTCTTGCTTCGAGTCGCAAATGGCGCTAGAAAATTCGACGCGCGACTAACTGACGCTAACTCTGTCTTGTAACGCGTCAGTCTCATGAAAATATTAAATTAGCTTAGTAGCTTAGGGAACATAAACGTTTCAATTCTCTTGAATTCAAATGAAATATTCTTCTGTAATCAATTACATTACAGACCAACCGTGAGGATATACCCGTAAATTTTCTGTTTTACTGAATCATCAATAACAAAGTAGTTGTATCCATAATAGTTGAGAGATAGAACGTAGAGCAAGGGGTTGATTAGGTCCCGTGAATGCAGCGTCGATTCGCCGACGACGGTAAACGGGAACGACCTGCCGGCGGAGTGTACGCGCGCGTATCAACGATTCCCAGCTGAACGGGACGGAGGGAGCGAGAGATAGGGCCCGAGGATCGGCCCGACAATGACGCCTCTTTTAGCCGCGCCGTACGTGCGTGGATTAACGTAATTATGTCGATGTAACGTGACGCCGGTGCCAGTGACGTCATTCCGTTTCGCTCGTCCCTCGTCGCGCTGCGCTTCTTGTTTGCCCGGATACGCACTCGCGTTCCTTCTGCGAACGCTGACGTTGCTGTCTCCTCGCCCTGTCTCTCACCTTCTTTTTTCGCCTCGCGCACTCTCCCGATCCTCTTTCTCCGTCGACCTTTTAATTGCACCGGACATCCGTCGTCTGCAATTGGATGAAACGTTTCCGTGACTCCGCTCCGCTTTTTACGGCCGCGCCGCGCGATCGCGCACTGCCAGATCACTCGACTGGGCTGAGGAATTCGGTTGATCTCAGTTCTCGGCTAGGTTTCTATTAGTTTTAATTGCGACGTACGAAATGTCCGATTTTTGGGATTGAAACGAACTCCAGTTTAGTAATGAATATCTTTCATCGAAGTAGCAACCATTGGATTCTACATATTCATAAGCTTCTAGGTTTTCGTTGCGTTTTTATAAAAGTTTAGCCATTTGCGGAGGAAGATACTTTGAAATATACAAAGTCTTCAATAAATGAAGTTAAATTAAATATCAATTACATAATTAATAGGAAGAAAGGGAACTACGAGCTGATCTTCTGCTGTCAGAGTAACTATATTATTTCTCTGCGACTTAGTCTTCCAAATGTGAACATTTCATCTCTCCGAAGTGTCGACATTCGTCCGCAAAGGGTTAGTATTGATAAATCCTTTAACGGTGTCTTCAATTTGCTTGGAAAATGCTGTTTATTGGAGTCATTTGCTGAAGTCACTGATAAACATTCGATGCGTTGACAGGATTTAGTTTGATAGGAAGACACCTAAGATGATCATAGGCAAGAGGTCTCTTCTGTTTCGTTTAATTTAATATATTAGTTCGTTAGGCCTAAAAATGTCTATCCGATTCGCTGATCGCCTGATAAATTAGACCCTCGTTAGACACCTTCTTCCCATCAGTTTCACAGGGGTCGAGTCGATTTAGAATTCTAGATCCCCTACGATGAGGTGCACGTTCCCACAGTATGTCTTTGACCGAGCAAGTGGTTTAGATCTTCCATTTTCGACGATCACGTGGAAATCCTCTAGACAATGACTCTGACGTCTGCTCCGCCACCGTTTCCCCTCTTTCCGTTCACTTCCTGAAGGGAACTCGACCAACTAAAAATAGGAGGCGACTGCTTTAACACGTGCGCCGCACCGATCCCAGGGCGAACGCTCGTCTCGTCCGGATGAGAGCGGTGCGTCCTAATGGGAACTCGTAGGTGTTTTTTTTTCCCCAACGAAATTTCCTCTCGGCAGTAATATAAATTCCCTAGATTCTATGGTAAACCACTCTTACCTCGAGCCGAACGTTCGTTCCGAGGCAGTCTCCGAAAACGTTGAATATTCATTTCGAGGATGTTCTGCTCGGGGGATCAGCTATTTTATTAGCGTCCACTTTCATTTTCATTTATCGAGAAAAATTCTATTTTATGAGTTTCATCTATGGAACATTCAAATGCTGGTGCCACATTAATTAACCCATTTGCATCGTAAGCGTTTATAGGCTCCACCGCTGTATAATTTGTATATCACAAAAAAGATACATTTTATGAATGCGATAATTGCCGTGTTTATGTAGGTTCTCAATTTTTTATACGTTTTGAGCTTTTGTTTTGATGCAATTGAAACATTTGCGGTGAAGACCAATTCTCCACTTTTTCCTATCAAAGCAAGAAACTATTTTATTATCAATATATTATCTCTAAAGAAAATTTGTACATGTAGTGGGCAGTTTCTTTGCGTCTCTTCTGAACTGCTGATAGAAACATTTCGCACGAGCTTAGTAGCAAAGATAAATGATACGGCAAGTGGTTAATACACCACGCATTAATCCATTTAATACTAGATATTAAATCACATTCGAATAATTCCGAGGGATTTCTACGAAGTCGTTGCTCCGAATCGACAGCCGACGCGGCGATTAATTAAGATCGAGCCGCGGCGGAACCTGTGCGTCACGTTCTACGGAAAAGAAAGGAGTATAAGTTATGACTTCATTTTCCCAGCAACGGAACGAAGGTGAAATCGCTCGCGATCCCAAAAAAGGGAGGCCGCGCGGCAAGATTTATCGATCCCGCCGCGGACGTGGACGGCGATCGTTCGATCGATCCGGCCGTCGCGTCCCGAGGAAATCGAAATTTATGATCGTCGCGCCGTGTGTCGCGTTGCCTGGAACCGTCCGCGGTTAAACAATGGCGCCCGTACGTGACCGACACGCCGATCGTTAGACTTTCTCGCCGGATCGACCGATCCGATAGACCGCCGCTATTCAATCTCGGTTTTTCTTTCTGTTTGCAGACGTGGTTCTTCACCGACCGCGACGACCCCTACTTCCAGAATCAGACGAGTGAGTACAATCTTTTCATTCATATTAATCTATTGCTTTCTTTACCGCTGGAATGCGAGTTTTCATGCGATTCCGAACGTCCGACCGTTCCGTGGTTTCTTTTGAAACTGTGCGAAGCTGAGTAGATTCACTCCGATCTTGGGTGAATCGGATATTTCTAATTTTTCAGTGTTTTGGTTATAATACGGAGGTTTTTCAGTGTTTTGATGTGATGGATACTGCACGATTTTATAGGAAAATACACAAAATGGAAGAAATATAAGAGTAGATCGTTCGATTGAATCGTATTGTTATTATACGCTCATATGGCTGAATGTCAGTGCATTAGCTGGCATTATTTTTAATATAGAAATGTTTTATATAGGATAACATAATATAGAAATGTTTCATATAGAACAATATAATACAGAAATGTTTTGAAAATTTCTTTCTAAAGAATATCGCATTCGAAGATTTCCCAGGAATCCATGAAAACTCGAAGTCTACTCTTTACATAGCAGTCGCATTAATTAGAAGCTAAAGAATTGAGAATTTGAAAGAACTGACATTTTGAAACTGAAAATGCGACTAATGAATTTCATTATCACAATTCCATTCTAATCACGTTCCTTAACTCCTATTCCACGATACCACTTCAGACGCGCAACGAAAAACATTCTTACCATAATTCTACTCTTCTAATTACACTTTGAACACTTTGCCCTAATGATTTCCACAACCGTGCTCCATGAAACTGCTTCATCCTAGATAATTTAGTAAAAAGCGAAAGAACTTGATGCTCATTTCACTACGATTACTTTGAAGTTTGCGGACTGATAATACACAAGTAATATTTCGTTTGTATTAATAGTAAACAAATAACATTCACATTCCCCGAATTCGACTGAAAGTTTCGATCGCGAGTCTGTTACAGTGTCGTGTTTGCAACAGATTTTCCAACGATCGTTTGTTACTTGTACCTTTAACTTTTTGCAGACAAACGTCGACATTTCGACGAGATCAGATGTTCCTGTTTGCAACACTAAGTCGCAAACGATTTAATTACTAAAACAGCAGATCAGTACGTAGTTTCTCTTTTCCAATTATCCAAGCAACCGATGTATAATTTAGCTTCATCTGCTGACGGTTTTCTATATTTCAAAGAAGCTTCGTACGAGAATGAGTTAAAAATTGAAATTTCCAGAAAGATCGGCGATCTACCGATATAAATACTGTTCCTCGTTGACTCGAAGGGGGCGCCGCGAGAGGATTTCGACGCGCACCTCGCCGTTGTTAATTAAATCGTCGTTGCGTCGTAGGTGCCGCGAGCGTTCTGTAATTCGCGCGAGATCACGGATAGCCGTAATTTTTCTAATAGTGAGAAAGCCTGTCCGGGCCGAGACCCACGATCGTTACCTCGCCGCCTCTCCTACGGGGGGAAGCTCCTCCGTTCGTTAATTAAGGAAGCAATTAAGACCGTGGCCCGAAAAATGTCGTCGTTCGTTATGATCGTTCGCGGAGTTGCTGTGTTCCTACACCGTTAGCTCGAACCCGCCGATTCCCGAGCGAGGATCCGCTAACCAGACGATTTTCCGACTAACAACCAGAACTATTACCATCTGATTATCGTCGAGTTGATCGTGAGGATTAGAAACGATCTCGGAACGAGAACAACCGCTCGTCGGACGCGTTGAACGCTGTGCGAACTGCATCTAGCTCGTGTTGTGCTGGGTTAATAGGTTTTGCAACGAAAATGTTTGTAGTGTAGACGTGTAGGTTAATGTTGATGTAAACTTCATGGATGTGCGTGCATATGTATGGGTGTGCGTGTATGCGTTGTTTTGGATAAACGCGAGAAAAAAAAGAGATATTGAAAAAAACGAAGTTTGTGTTGACAACGGAAGAATATATAGAAATTGACATCGTGTTAAATAAACGTCTATAGTAGTGGTGATTCATTCGTTTCTAGCAATTTTTATGTTTATCGTAGTTATTGTTTCATGCTTTCATCTTCGAGAGGAACTTGTTCCCACCTCGAAGTTTAGTGTTTCAACGCTCAACTTATCAATCGAGAAGTTTCTTCTATACTATAACCCTTCGCTAACCTGATTTGATATAAAAAACCATAAGAATATTCAATATTAAACTTTGCATAAGCAATACATGAAACATTGAAGTAACATAGCTCCGTTCCTTAACCCTTTGAACTCTGTAGGCTCCAATATTGCACCAGGAATAATATTAGATATTTTATAATAATAATTTTAATTTGAAAATTTTGCACTAAGAAGGAAAATAAAAGATCCAAGAAATGTTATAGCATTTTTCATTTTTCCATGGATACTATAAAAACTAGTTGCAGTTGCTGATAGATTACAAAACCACCTGGAGTGCTAAGGGTCAACGAACGTGTGATTACTCGATAAATTAATTTTCGAAACTGCCCACACTCGTCAGAAACCATTGATCGTTACCACAAAACAATCTTCAAGCTAGAAACTTAACATCACAGCGTCCCAAGCACAAAATTGCTTGTTCCCAAGCTAAAGCATCGCGAAGACCTCGAGAAGACATAAATCCGCAGTACCGGCAAATTTCGGTAGAACATAAGAAACTTTGTAGAAGAGAATATAAAAGTGGTTACACGTGTATCCAGTGATTAACACAAGCGTCGACGATGCTCGTACGGGGACGAGTTAATTCTCGTTCGCCGTTTAACGGAGGATCGTTCCGAAGCTCCAGATCGATTATCGTTTGTTCCCCGCGAGAGACGCATCGCTCCGGGCCGGTTAGAGAGAGAAAGAGAGAAAGGGAGAGATGAGCTCTCCGTGTAAGTACACACGGGTTTTAGTTGCTTTCAGGTAAAACGCTCGCCCCGGTTAAATGGCTCTATTAAAAAAGGAACGGCGGCGCGAGAGGAGCGTTTATTTCTGTTGTAATACGAGGCACGGATAATTACGCAGCCGGGACTTAATGGTTGCCCTCGTTTATGCGATAATTGCCGGCGAAACGAGCGCGTGCGTGTAGGAGCGGCCAGCGCGACGGCTCCTCTCCGACGTCGCTCGTCAATCATTTCAAAAGTTTAGTCGTGCCCGAGACCGTGCGCGCGGCCGGCTATATGTATGCCAGCGGTTGGAAACGCCGGGCGGACACGACCGGACCAGTTCCTTCGATTTTCTCAGGGACCTCGCGTCGCTCGACCGACTTTCCTCGGCGATTCACGTTTCCCTTGATCCCCTTAAGTAGTCTACAATGTCTATGGGAACTATTCAGAGATACCTCGGGAGACACACGCGTTCGAAGGTTCGAACCTCGACTGGAGGACCGGTGGTGTTCGCGATTTCGCAGGAACGTCGACGGTTAGAACGAAGTTTTACCGGAAGAGATTAACCCTTTGCACTCGGAAGTATTTTGTTAGCGATACTTAACACTAGGTTTACGGGCATTTATTGTCTTCATTCTATTATTCCTAAAAGGTCGCTCGTTTATTTAGATCGTGGAAACTGGAGATTTGATAGTAGGTAATCGGGGTACATGTCAGTGTGATCGCATCGATAAAAATATTTCCTTTCAAAGGTTTGCGATGGGGAGTAATTTTTCCGAAATGAGACTTCGTTGCGTGTTGAGAGCGCGCGAAAAGCAGAAGTTCGTAGAGATGGTATTATAGTTCCGTGCTGAGAGGTTTAACCCTTTGCACTCAAGTTTTTCAATGGAAATATTCAACATTTTCCGACGAGATACAGGTGATGTTGTTTGAAACTATTTTAACGATGATTCATAGATAAATTAAGCAACAGAGGTGTTTTATTGAAATAGTTCACGTAGAAATGAAAATTTCACGATCCGAAAGATTGTGAAATTGACAAGCCGATGAACCGTCGATATAGAAATTTGTGCAAAGGGTTAGCTTCAGCTGCATCGATCGCCATTGAAACAAAGAGCGAGGCTCGATTACGAAAGCTGCGATTGGTATTCTGAGAGATGGCGACGGAACGAATGGGCCGTTTCGGTTCGAAATTCGTCGGCTCGCCGGCCGAGTCGTGCGAGTCGCTGGTAGCACGCCCGTGGAATATCCACGGCAATAAAAATGGCAACGAGGGATTCTCCTCCGCAATATTATCGTCGAGCGTGCTCCCGGCATCGCGCGCATACTAACAGCACCCTCCGGCGCGGATGCAAATGACGGAGGATTGGTGGAGGCACCGACCGGCCGGCGAGCGGACGTTGAAACGCGCCAAGATTTCGTATTCGAAAGGGAACGCGTTGGATTCTCGCTGTTGAGTGCGGCGGATGGTCTTGGTCTTGATGAGCATTGGGCTGGAAACAGATGGAAGGTATTAGTTGGTGGACTTGCGAGGTTGGACTTGATCGTCTCGTGTCGGGTGTAGGTCTGAGGGGATTCGAGCAGTTAGGTGCAGTTGAATGCGACTGGGTTTAATTAGGTTTGAGAACAGTTGGATCCAAGGAGAGTTGTTTGAATAGATTTGAGTGGTTTGGGGTAGATTTGATTAGAAAAGGCTGGGTTTAACTAGGTCTGAGTTCAGTTGGATCCAAGGAGAACTGTGATTCAATAGATTCGAGTGGGTTCGAGTAGATTTGATTAGAAAAGGCTGGGTCCAAGTAGGTTTGAGCAAGTTCAGCTAGATTCAAAGAGATCTAAATCGAAGGAGAGCTGAGTAAGTCCTAGTTTATCCGGCTAGGTCCTGAGAAATTCGGCAAGATTAGATTTAGGACCTTGGTAGGTATAATTAAATTTACCAAGTCCAGCCTATCTTAATTAGATCCAGCTACCTTCAACTACGTCCAAATAAACAGCAATTCAACTAGGCTTAAAGAGATCTAACCGAGTCCAAGGACATCCAGCTAGCTCTTATAAAGTCCACCTAGGAAAAATTAGACTTAGGAAGATCTCGGTAGATCCTCCTAAATTATTTGGTCCAAATAAACAGCAATTCAAGTAGGTCTAAAGAGATCTGAGTCCAAGGACATCCAGCTAAACAAGCTCAAACTTAACAAGACCTTAGCTCGAACTAGTTTCTACCAAATCCAACCAATCCCAACTAGATCCATCTACTTCCACATCCAACCAAACACGAGTCCCACTTATCCCAATCTCAGTCGATCGAATCAAGGAGCAACAGACGTTCCTACAACGGTACGAATAATTGATCGTCTGGTAGCTGTCGCGTGCTATTCTTATCCGCTGTCTACAGGCAAGAATCGACGTCGTTTAGAATCGTTAACAAGAAATAATTTTTCACTGTCCCCCTCCGGTGATTATTTCGTATTTCCCCGGTAATGCGGCGCGCCGGCCAGCCCGCAGCAGAAGCGTGGGTGGACGCGGGCCAACGGGGAGGATAATGGGACGGAAGGACGAAGGAGGAGGGATGAGCACGCGAGCCCTCGGGCACCGTCCGACATTTGACCTCACCACGCGCTCTGCACCGGTTTTGCACTTCCACCTCGATCGTTCCTACCTGACTCGCATATCATCCACCCCTCCTTGCCTTCGTCCGTCGGGATTCGAATAGTTTGTCCTAGAAACGGGCCCCGATTACGCGGATCTTACGTAAAACTCGGTGAATACACGATTTATTGATTATTATGAAATATTCTGCGAAAGCGATGATTTAGAGGTTTGGTTGGTTTCGTCGATTGCTTGAGACTTGCTATCGTAAGAAGAAATAGTCGAAACTTTGCGACTGCAATTTATAGTTTGCATGGATCGAGGTCATTGCAGGATTGAATTTGATTGAACACTTGTTTATTCTAGTTTTTAATTTAGTGGTTATTGGAATACTCGATGTTTTACTATTCTAGCTTCCTGATTCAGTGATCATTGAAAAATTCAACACTGAACTATCCTAGCTCCCTAACTCAATGATCACTGAACGATTGAACTTCCAACTATTATACCTTCTTAATTCGCTCGTCGCTAAAGAATTCAATACTTAATTATTCCGGCTTCCTAATTTACTAATCATTGAAAAATTCAACACTGAACTATCCTAGCTCCCTAACTCAATGATCATTGAACGATTGAACTTCCAGCTATTATACCTTCTCAATTCACTCGTCGCTAAACAATTCAACATTTTACTATTCTAGCTTTCTGATTCACTGATCATTGAAAAATTCAACACTAAAACTATTCTAGCTCCCTAACTCAATGATCACCGAACGATTGAACTTCCAACTATCATACCTTCTGAATTCATTCGTCGCTAAAGAGTTCAACATTTGACTATTCCAGTTTCTTAATTTACTGATCATTGAAAAATTCAACACTGTACTATCCTAGCTCCCTAATCCAATGATCATTGAACGACTGAACCTCCAGCTACTATACCTTCTCAATCTATTCGTCGCTAAAGAATTCAATGCTTGATTACTCCACCTTCCTAATTCACTGATAATTGAAAAATTCAACACTGAACTATCCTAGCTCCCTAACCTAATGATCATTGAACGACAAACTTCCAGCTACTATACCTTCTCAGTCCATTCCTCGTTAAAGGATTAATCCTTCAGCCATCATAGCCTCTTAATTACCAGCCCCGTCGATGGAGGGCTGGAAATTAATCGGACATTGTCCGCGGGCATAATTGAAACGCGTATCGTGGGAGTGTTTGGCGAACAGGTACACCGAGTATCCCAATGATCGGCTCGTCGTGTGTGCGCAGGCCTGCTCGAAACATCGGCGCGGCTCCTTCAGGAGCGAGAGCCATCGAGCCGAATTAATTAAAGCCTCCGCGCCGGCGACCCGGCAGGATGATTATTAACCTCTTAATTAATTGCACGCCAAGCCCACCTCCGCTGATCGTCCCTTCTGTTCTTTGCTTTCAGACGGCCACATGATCAACACCAAGTGCTCGTCCTCGCACAACAGGCGTGCCCTGTGCTGTAAAATGTCCGTCGAGTTCGACAGGTTCCTCGGCAGCGGCCGGAAGTGAGTAGCCAATCCACACGTTCTCCATGCGCGACGCTCGTTAACCCTTTGCGCTCCGAAGTGCTCTCGGTTTCTCGCTTTGAGGTTCACGTCGACGTTGGTTCGTTCAATTATAATTTAACCCTTTGCACTCCAGAAGCTTTTCACCGGAAATATTCAATATTTTCTAATGAGATACAGACGACATTTTCTTAGAGTGAATTAACCCTTTGCACTTTGAAGTTTTTCATTAGAAATATTTTAACGTCTTCCGATAGATATCAGATTTTATAGTTTCACTGTGTCAAATCAATTATAGCTTGACCCTTTATAATTCAGAAGCTTTTCACCGGAAATATTCAATATTTTTTATCGAGATACAGACGACATTTTCTTAGTTCGGTTAGTTCCTTTGATTCATTAAAATATTTAATATTATAACTGGTGCAATATTAGAGCCTACAGAGTTCAAAGGGTCACTGAATGCTTAAATCATAGAGAATAAGGAAACCGTGTACTGATTTCTCGCGGTTCGAATAGTTAAATCACCTGTTCGAAACTGGGTGTTCCAAACATGGAAGTTTGATCTCAAAATGCCGACATTCGTCGAAGGGTTAATTCATATAAACGCGAACGTTTAAATACCTCGACAAGCGGTACGACCACGTTCGAAACGACCGGTGCATTTACTGTTAAAAGTGAATGCCACTTACCGAATAATAAGTGACTTAATTAGCCACTTTTAAAATTGAAACCGCAGTCGACCGGTTAACCGCGACCGACGCGACCGGTCCGTTCGCCGGTGATCTAATTTGGGATCGATTTCACGCTCTTCTTTTTCTCGCGAACCGACGAATCTCTTCATTCGAAATCCACTGGCCGCTCGTAATTACGGGCATTTCGGGTCATCTTTTATTTCTTACCGGTCGTTCGAACCGTCGACGAACCTTCCGATCGCGGACAAACACGGCCGAGATGTACGTCCGATATGAAACTCGCGTGACCGGCAAATTGATTTCGTAGCCCTTTTTTTCGTCCGCAACCCGTCCGATTCGTGTGATTGTTTACGAATCACTGGAATTAACGAAATTGTTTTAACGACGGTTAACCGGTTGTAACGTTACATCGCGACGGCCGTGTAATTAGAGGAAAAAACGCGAGTAGAAATCGGCTCAGGCGGAAGTATAAATTTTCCCCCGGGAGGAGTGGCCGGTCGTTCGAGAGATGCCGATGGAACCGACATCGCGACTGTTCTACCTGTTGCGTCGCGCAGGTTCGTATCGACGCGTTGCCCCTAATTAACCGGGGGATCCCTAATTAACGGCTGCTTCGAGGAAGCGCTTCCACCGAAAGAGTGATACTGTTTCCGATGGTCGAAACCGCTGGGATCTGGGGAATCCTCGGATTTTTTATTTGTTTCGTGTAGATCTTGGTTGGATCTCGAGGAGTGGATTAGAAAAAGATATCTCGCTTTATATAATCGTATCAATTATAATTTTCTTACTATGTTCTTCAAGAAATAAATCAAAGTAAATTTATTTGAATAAATATTATTTTTTGATATTTTTTGTAATAACACAATATTTGTGATCTCATTAGATAACTACTCTTATTAATTTTTTTGCACACACCCAATCACTTCATTTTTGGTAAATGCCCACAAAAGTTGTTTAGCATCCAAACGGTTAAGGCATTGTAAGGTTTACCTTTGTGCTCTAATTTGTAGTATTATTTTGTTTATGTATTACACTGATATTTGTTTCAAGTCAAAGATGAGATTAATAAGATCAATCTTTCACTCGAAATTTCAGATGTTCCTCAGCATATTCGAGTCCATCGTTATCCTCATTGTCGGTTAGGTGTTATTAAACGAGTCCTCTCTGTAACGGAGCCGACAGGAAGATTAATATCTCCGTTAATTGTTTGCTTTTCAAAGCGGTCCTCTATTCTGCCGTTGGAATTCATTTTTTCCAAGGTTTTTCTTCGGCGCTACCGTGTGTATCGTACACGTGTGCAGCAGGCTCTTAGCGGATTCTTTAGAAATAGACGATTGAGCTTCATGGGATTGTACTTGTTGTTCTCTCCTAGCTTTTTTAACTTTTTTAGCTTTTTTAGCTCTTTAGCTCAGCTGGAAAGCTTCTTTAGCTTAGCCTCTAAGCTCTCGTAGCTTGTCTTTCATTTTACGTTTCTTTATTATTTGCTTTCATTCATCTAGTTCGGTTTATTTAATATTTCTCATGGTGTATTATCTCTGCTGTTCTATGATTTATTTATTACAGTTATTTGAAGTTATGGGGTGCTGCAGTTACGTTTAGAATGACATAGTTACAGCGAAGAAAGTGATTTTAACATTAGAACTACTGTATCAGTTAAAAGTTTAAGGAAAGTTTTCAACTCTCAGAGTTGAGAATTCTTAAAGTTTGGAATTCTCAAAGTTCTGAACTCTCAACGTTGTAAATTCTCAAAGTTTCCAACTCTCAAAGCTGTGAATTCTCAAAGTTTGGCATTCTCAAAGTACTGATGTTATTATCCTAATTTTAATTTACAAGTAGCTCTATTTGACACAGCTGCGAGATGAATCATAAGACAAGGAGCTAAACCCTCTTCATCGTCAGTCAGATGCATACTGTTTACGATTCGCTCGTACAAGCAGAACTATGGTGCTCTTCAAGCCCCCTAAATTCGTTCTAGTGGTCCACTTGGCTGTCGAGCCCTTCGTAAGGAGCAACGGTTCCTCGGCCGAATGTTTGTTTGCAAATCGGACATTATTGCCGCGCCTTCGCCAAGAATTCCGTGTTTAGATAGGCCTTTCTTCCCGATCACGGCTAGAAAATATTATCTCTGCTCGAGTGGCGCCTAGAAAAACACCCCTAATGGAACGATTATCGAGTACATTTCTCCTCTTTGTTTCTGGGACATGTCTTCTGAACTTACTCGGCTTCCGCCTTCTCCAAGCAAAGTTCAATGTTGAACTTCGGAAGTTTTTCAAGATTCTTGCGAGCTAGGAATGCGTAGAGTTCCAAAGTCAACTCACGATGAACTTGAGTGTGCTTGAAAACAAATGCAATACGAACAATGTTCCTTCTTCAATATCATTCTATTCATAATATTTGATAGAATGTACAAAATGCAATTAATGTAATATTGCAAAAGACTTTCCACGAGATCCGAATTACATATCCTATCTTTTGCGACACTTCATCTGCGAAAGTCCGGAATTAAGAACGTTATATTTGAAATTCGTTCTGGATCGTAATGGCAGATTTTTCATCCATAAAATGGCAGACGCCCGAATATTTCCAAGTTGCCCGTAAAAAGGCAAACTCCTGAATATTTCAAAATTTTCCATAAAATAGTAAACTTTCGAAAATGTCCAAACTTTCCATACAATGGCATACTCATGAATTTTTCTCAATTTTCCATAAGAAGGCAGCCTTCCGAATACTTCCAAGTTTTCCATAAATCAGCAAACTCCCGAAAATGTCCAAACTCTCCATGCAACGGCAAACTTACGACTTTTTCCCAATTTTCCGTAAGAAGGCAGGCTTCCGAATATTTCAAAATTCTCCATAAAACAGCAAACTCCCGAAAATGTCCAAACTCTCCATACAATGGCAAACCATCGAATTCATCCCAATTTCCCGTAAGAAGACAAACTCCCAAAAATGTCGGCACTTTCCACAAAATGTCAAACGACAGACAGGTCATTCCTCGCGGCGCGACACCCTCGCTTTCCCTCCCCTTCAGCTTTCTCCCCGAAAAGCCGGGACCAATTACGATTTCACCGTCGAAGGGAAAGGACGAGCTCTCCGGATGCGGCGGCATTAACGGCCGCAATTACAGCGCAGGATCGCGCAGAGTTGCCCTTTGATCTCCGCACTTATCGCGGTTACATCGTCGTCCGGCCGTTGTTCACGTGCTACGGGGGTAAAACGGTTCAAGTGTCGGGGCGAGGGATTCGTTTATGGGAAAAAGCGAGCCGCCGCCGCTGCTTCCCCCGTTTCGCCGTGGCCGGGGATTCCCTCGGCAAAAAGCGGAAATCACGTCGATGGCCCTCTTAACTCGCGGACCACTCGACTTTGCTTCTAGTAGCCCGGAAACAATGGTTTCTTCTTGCTTCTGGGGCCCTGGGTAATCCTCCTAGCCACTTAGGGGGTAATCATATTATAATTCTATCATTTTTATTTATTACGTTGTTATTGTGGCTCAAGTAGACCGCAGGATCTTCTTGCTAAGAGTATTACGTGTAGGATGTAGAACTGGAGGATGTCAACGTTTTTCTGATAAACTCTTGTACAATGACGAGTGAGACTCGTGATTAGACTAATTTAACACTAGAGTAGAACTACCGAGCAATTAATACGATTAATATGTAGTTATAAAAATTGTAACAATAGGTTATTTTCAGTTTCTACAGGTATTCATTGTAGTACTGAAATGAAACTATTCTCAATCATTTGAAATATTCGATGCTTCGAAGATATTTGTTGAATATTTATTTGTAATATCAAATATTTTAGCGAATCAAAGAAACTACTCTAAAATTATTCGATTCTCCATGCATCCAAATTTTGTACTGAGAAAATAAAAGATCGAAGGAATGTTGTAGCATTTTTCATTTTCAGTGGAGATACCATAAAAATTAGTTGTAGTTAAGGGTTAACGACAATCGATGTTATTCGTCACCCACCGGTCAAAGCGAACTATTTTGCTATTGTATTATCTTCGAATAAAATTTCCACTTGAAGTAGAATGGACAGTTTTGTTGCATTTCCAAATTATCGATAGTAAAATGGTACATGAGCTTAGTGAAAGTGAATAGTACGGCAAGGGGTTAATTAGATGGTGTACACTGACACAGTGATTTATATTAATTGAATTCAAGTCTGCTACTCGAGGATGCAAACTTCTTACTGGTACTTCGAATGATCCACTGATCTTCCTTCCCATACAATATTGTCTTCTACGGAATTCAATGCCTTCAGGTGTCCTAATAAACGCATCAAAGAAATCCGAAATTA